ACTACGTCTATAATCAAATCATTGCTGTACTTGTAAGACATCACATAATGTGATGCAGATGCACCCAAAAATTAAAAAAAAGGAGGAAAATCTTCACAAAGCACGAAGCCAGAATCTTATAGGACAGCCTTCATTAAGAATTGAGAGTGCGCAACACAGTGTGGCTACAATGATGACAATAGAACAGAAACAGCGCCGAGGGTTAAAACGGAGCATTCTGGATACCCTGGATGCAATTTGTCAAACCAGGAAGTCCAGAGTAGTGGTCCAGGGTTGCACATATACACGTCAACTGATGGAAATACACGCAGGGTTTTTTTTCTCCCTTTTTTGTCCCCTCGCTCTTTTTCTTCAAAAAGGTGTGGCTGAGTATTGGTTTCGAACTAGAAAATCCACTTTTGTTTTTCTAAATCAAAACCATTTTTTGGTACCTTTCTTTTAATTGTACACCTTTGTGTAAAATTAAAAAGCAATATGAGTCAATGGGTCTGAATATTTGTTATAAATATATTAAGGTACATGCACATGTAACAATATACATTGTATAAATATATTAAGGTACATGTAACAATGTTTGGCAGATCGTCCTAAACATGTGCATAGGTATATTACCAAAGAATGCAACATTTTGCACAGTTGTAAAATTGTAAACATAACAGTGACGAAGACAAAAGTGTACATAATGAAATGTAACAATGAAATGTTTGCTCTACACGCAATGTACACTAATACAGTCATATGCAAACTGCATGTTGACATGGTTAATGTACATATGTTGTATACAGTACCATGTCTATGTACACGTAAATGAACTACATGTACATACTTTGGACCAACGAACATGTGCGTCCATGTGAGTTGCACATGTTTAACTGTACATGCACCATACAAGATTTGCAAATTCACCTTTGCACAACACCTCCATACAATTTAAATTTGCAGCACTTTTCAATGTGTAATTTGGCCAGTACATGTACAATTGAAGCACTAAATTGAAACATGACATGCTTCTACACTGCAAGATGTCGTTTCCTCCATCATGTCCATGCACACACAAAAATGTGGCAATAAAAGGATTTTCTTATAACAATTGTAATATTCATCATACATGTACACATCCTTTGAGTTGGAGCTTGACATTTTGTATGCACAATGTACATCATACTGTAGAGACAATTTGTTTCCAATGCCTGAGCATATGGGCAATGCGGACAAGGCTGACAAATTGAAAATTTATGAAATCTTCAAAATTACAAGCACCACAACCTCAAATGTGGTATAAAATTTAAAGGGGACAACAAGATCTTACATTTCAGTGTATTTTTTGGTCAAAAACTGGTAATTTGCCAAAAATTATGGATTTAGGTATAAGTGGTGGGCAGCCGTGTTAGTGGGGTAGAATCAATTGGAAAGGTAAGGTAGCACTTTAAATGAGTATTTAGATTGAAAGTGTGCACATACTTTCGTAGAGCTACATGTGCATCAGTATACAATGAAGAGGGGCATTTATAATCATACAAGGTATAGGGGATTTAGCTAGTCATTTTGGCAGGTTGTTTTCACACAGAATTTCAAAATGCAAGTGGCTTTTTGTTTTTAAGGAAGAGGAAAAGGTTCATATTCTATGCCAAAAGAGTTTTTTGTTTGATCATTAGTTTCTTAAATGTTTCAACTTGTACCCAAGATAAGCAGACAAACTGTAACGTGAGTCACCGTAACGTGCGTTACGGTAACGTAAGTTACCAAAATCTATCCATCTAAGGATTCTTTATAATTGTAATGGTACCGGTACATGTAGAATTTGAGACTTAAATACCCAAGTTACAATGTCAGGGCACCAAAAAGATTTTACCATCTGTATAGGCCTACAGTTTGAGGACAACTTTCAAATGCAAGGTTTTTTTTTTCAAATTTGTGCATGTCCTTTTTGTGTTCGCAAGTTACCAATAAAAAACTTATTGCCAAGCCAATAGAACTTCATTTTGTTGGTCCTTTTTTGTTGCAATTAGTCACTTAATTTCAAGGCATCTTCTGTGAGAAAAATCCACCCTCAATGCTTTAACTTTATAGAATAACAACACAGAGTTGACGGTAGGCCCCTCCAAATGTAACATGAGTTACCATTGGGATGGAATTGCTCATACTATACATTTTCTTTTTCCAAATTTTGCTGGGTGTTAGACTGATGTTCTTACATGTATATTACAAGTACATTCCAAATAGTTGAATTTATTTTGAAAATTTGGAAAATGAAAATACATACAGTATTCTAGGCACACCTTGGCATCAGGTTGATGTGTATGCCGAGTTTCAAATTAAAACCATGTGTACATGGATCGGTCTATTTGTTTTAATTCATGTGGAGAAAAAAAAATGTGGAGAAAAAAAATCTCCAGAAAATAAAGTATTAACTGCAAGTACATGTATTGCTAGGGCTTTGCCCAAAATCCTAATTATGCAGTATTTCAGTCACAATAGATCCATACATACGTAAATCTGCATCTAGAGTGTGTCTATTGGGCGACAAAGCCTGACATTTTACTATCCCCAAGTTCAACAAAACTGCCCGGAAATGCATCTTAAATAGACCCTGACATTTGGTTGCGTCCCTGTACTGCATCCGATCACAAAGGGTTTGGAACTTGGTTTCGCTGAAAAGCCTGAATGTCTTAGAGGGAGGGTATGGTTGGGCGGGTGATAAACATTATGACCTTTTTATTCTACTCGTAACCTTTTCTGATTGTTCTGGGCCGGATCTCGTGACATCGGGGACAGTCTTTGCACCCACTCGTCCCCTTCAAGATAAGAAGAGGGGGTTTGACATTTCAGCCCGTCTCAAGGGTGACAAGCGTTGTTAATGGCCGGGCTCACTCTAGAGACTCTCACTTGACATGCCATCCGGCTAATTGGATGGCACAGCCCGGATAAACTGTTGGTTTCAGTTCCACTGGACAAGGACAATGGCAAGAATCAATTCGATTTTTGTACAGTTGTTGGGTTTTTTTTTCAGGAGACAATCTTTTCCAGCTCATCCAGGCTTTGAAATGTCACCATTAAACTGAGTCTGTTTCACACTTTCACTTTACCTGCCTTCCAGGAATCTACAGGTAAATTGCTGAGAACGTTTTCTACTTTTGTTTCCTCACTTTTTCCCACTTTTCAATTTTTTTTTAAAATAAGTACATGTAACCTTTGAATTGAACGTCAGACCAAGTACACAACAGTTCTAATGGCGAATACCGCACTTTTGCAGGGATGTAAATTGGACTAACTTGGAAGTACATTGTAAATTTAAGGTGTCATATTAAGCCTCCTATGCAAGCATACATTCTGTGCCAAGTTGTCATTTCAGTCCAAATCAATCAGGTGACTGTTTTCAACAGTTAAGAGCTCCCAGCCTACATACATGTAAAGCAGAATTGACTAGCTGTGTGGCTGTTTATTATGTAACTTGATACAGCTATGATTTGACTGTAGGTGATTGATAAGCAAGGTGTGCCTAATTCGTGCCTATTTTTGTCTGTTGACTGGATTTGACTAGTCACAGTGCTTGCTCAAAATATGATCCGACTGTTGGTGACTAGCCGGTGTAATAGGCAAGGCAGAGGGAGAGGATTGATTTTTTGTGTCTGTCTGTGACTGTTTAAATAGCAGGAGAGTTTTAAGAAAAGTATATACACATGTATGGTGTCCATATGTTTTTTTAAATTTGGAAAAAAATCTGAAATCAGGCAGTTACAGGAGGATTTACAACAGGAATTTCATCTGTCTTACAAATTTCCGAGAAAAAAAAAACACGCCTCTATTCTTAACAAAAATAAAACATACATACATAAGCACTACATATCATATTCTTAGATTTCTTGCAAATGTGCAGAGATCCAGGAACAAAGCCTTGGAAAGTCTGATACATGTACCAATATGGACGCCATGAAAAAGCACCCTTCAACGGTTACAAAAAGAACAAACAAAAACCCTAGAATTCCTTGTCTCCAATTTCAGCTCCAGAATCATTAACCCTAACCACCTAGGCCCTTTTGGCTAGGAACCATCCTCGATCCTGCAAAATCCTCCAATTGCCACCATGTAAAATTGGATACAGCCTCAATCCTTCAAAAATCATCCGTTAGTTAATTCTTTAATTTGTGCATTGGTGGGGTGACCGACCACTGCCTCAATTTCTCAGAATCCTCCAACAGTCGCTGTTAATACGTTGAGGCAGTGCAAATGATATCCAGAAGCAGATCGGAAGGTATCCAGCATATTGTGGGCCTCAATTATGCATGGCTGAACATAAATAATGCAGGGTACAGCCTACGCCCTCGACACAATGCATCCTCCAAAATCAACTGACACTTTTTTTTGCCATTCAGTCTTAATCCTTCAAAATCCTCCAAAACCGCCTGGTTGATTTTGGAGGAATGAGGAGGTTAGGGTTAAGGAGCGTTTAACATCCAGAACTAATGGAAGAACTTTAAACGTTGAGCATCTATTATAGGATGTGATGTACCTAAAGCATGGGCCAATATTGAGCTCGTGTCCCATAAAATCAGGGGCCTAAAAATCTCATAAAGCCACGGCTGGGAGACGAGGCCGTGGTTTGGGAAACCTCCTATGAACCCAAAGTCTTACCTATGAACCACCCATGAACCCCATATGAACCCAATGCCTTACCTATGAACCCCCTAAGAACCCCATGCATTACCTATGAACCCCCTATGAACCCCATATGAACCCCCTATGAACCCAATGTCTTACCTATGAACCACCTATGAACCCCAAATGAACCCAATGCATTACCTATGAACCCCCTATGAACCCAATTTCATACCAATGAACCCCAATGAACCCAATGCCTTACCTATGAACCACCTATGAACCCCACGTGAACCCAATGCCTTACCAATGAACCCCAATTAACCCAATGCCTTACCTACATGTATGAACCACCTATGAACCCAATGCCTTACCAATGAACCCCTATGAACCCAATGCCTTACCTTCAAGATGTCAGCAGCTATGTATTGCATGACAGCCACTAGATACAGGGAGACCTGGGAATCCACGCGGTAACCTAGACCCTCCTAGAAACAAAGAAATGGCGACAAAATGAAAAAGAAAGAGGACCTGTACTCTTCATCTGGCCTTTTTGGATTATGAGATCCACTTTTTAAATCATCCCGGGTGACAAAATTAATGGCACTGACGAAACATGCATTAACCTTGACTCCCCAGGCATTTTTTTGCTAGGAGGACACCGCAATCTTGCAAAATCCTCCAACTGCCTCCATGTAAAAATTGTGTACAGCCTTCAATCCTGCAAAATCCACCGTTATTTCTTAAATGTGGTCCTTAAAGGAGCGACCACTACCTAAAACCTGCAAAATCCTCCAGCAATCGCTGTCAATATGTTGAAGCAGGGCAGGTGACATCCTGGGGCAGTGCGGAGGATTTCAAGTATAATCTAGGTCTATATTTATGCACGGCTGAGCATACACAACACAAGGTCTGGCCTAAGACCTTGACACAGTGCATTCTCCAAATTCAGCCACACATTTTTGCCATGTACATGTAGCCTCAATCTTGCAAAATCCTCTACTTTGCAAAGAGGATTTTGGAGAATTTGGGAACGTTAGGGTCAAGTAAGCAAGTTCAACATTGTAAAACTGCAACCATATAAGTTCAATACAAAGTATATACTACGGATTGCGATGGCCTCTTGAAAATTCTTAACAAAACCGTTTGACAAGGAAGTTTGTTCCACAACCCCCAGTTGGCACAAGTAATGAACTATGGAATAGATGTCGTTGTACTGTCCATAAAGTTGAACAGACTACAGGAATAAATTTGTTACCCAGATTTCAAGCCAGCCTTACCTTCAGCAGAGAATGTATCTTATCGACGGGCAAAAATAGCGGGGCCCTCTTCTTGCCCTTCTCTAGGGCGTTGCGAGCATCGCTGATAGTCCACTGGTCGATGGGGTGTGGAAAGACCCTCTGGACTCGCTCCTCCACATCCTGGACAGTGTGGGGCTGACCGGCGCACAGCATGCCAAGCAGCCGGACGATGAGGGACTCTATGTACTCCAGTGCTGCCTCTTCTACAATCAAGGAAGGATGCACATCTCTCTGAACCTGCAAGATTTTTAAAAAAAAACACTCCTACTGTAGCTTTCAATGTAAAGGTCCATGGAGCTATGACTAGAGAGCTATCTTGCGGTACACTTTCCAGTAGATTTTGTTCCAAGGCCTGAAAATATTGACATGATCGCAGTACACCATACATACTCACGTTGCAATACCGCGCACGTGTATGTCTACACTAAATGTAAATTATGTACAATACGTTCTTTCATGGCGATTGCTGTAGAGCAGCATGCACGCAGTGACCCTAGACTTGCACACCAGAACAAGCTAAACCGCATGTATCACTTGCTGTACACATGCGAAAGTGGTGCATCCATGCAGCAATATTAATATTGATGGAGTGCACTCGGAACGAGTCTAGCACGCTGACAACACGTAGCGTGTAACCAATTTTTTTTTATTGCTCATCAGCGACGGTAAAACCACCTGCAACCGATTTCAACAGATTTGGTCCTGAAGCATTATATGAAGCCGAGTGAGTGATGGATTTTGACGGACATTTATTCATTTATGCCATTTCTTTACCCAGGGTATGCCCAAACAGTTAAAAACTAGTGCCCATTGGGGCCCTGCATGCATAACAAATTATTAAATGTTAAGTAAAGTTTAACTCATAAGGAAAAGTACATTAACTGGTGAAACATTGGTCTTCTACTTAGAAAAATACTAAGTAGGGCATTAGGGCTACAGCACATGAAAGGCTTACCTTCCGCAGAGCAGCAAGAAGGAGGTCTTTCCACCGGTCATCGCTTTCAAAATCATAGCCTCCCATTGTTCCTGTACTCCTTACCGGTAGCTGGTGTAAAAGTAAAGAAAGGTGATACATAATCATTTTATTTCTTCATTAATACATTTACTGGCAAGTGACGCATTGGCAGCAGGAATCTGCACACTGCTGTTATTTGTCACATTAGCCTGCCATGCCTGGTACCACAAAAAAATTAACCTTAACTCCTGGGGCTCTTTTACTAGAAAGTATCCTGAATCCGCCAAAATCCACCAATTTTGTCATGCAAAAAATGCTGGTATCCTGAGTCCATCAGAATCCCCCAGTGTAGATACTGGAGGTATCCTGAATCCGCCAATAGTCCACCAGCAAAAGTCTCGATGGATTCTGGCGGATTCAGGATACCATGGTGGCATGAAAAAAAGTACAGCCTGTTTTTCCATAGAGTCTTCAAAATCCATCACCTAAATTTCTGGTGGATTTTGACGGATTCAGGATACCATGCTCGCATGAAAATTGTGATGTGTGCTGTTGCATAGGATCCATCAAAATACACCAAAGCATGGCGATCCCAGCATTGCATTGCCTGGATGGGTTATTTACATAATCCATTGTTTATACATTTTATATGCTGAGGCCTATATATAGCCCCAGTCACATGTAGCTCCCATCCACCCAGTTCATGTGTGTACATGTTATGTGACAGACTTGGCAGGGCTAGTACCAGCAGTATTTACTTGACCACAAACATTGCAAAAGAGTTCAACTGTTGAGATCCTGAATCCATCAAAGTCCCCCAACAGCTCAAAATAGAGGTATCCTGAATCCATCAAAATCCGCCAGTTCCGAATTCTTCCAATCCTGAATGTATCAAAATCCCCTAGTTTGTTCAATATGGATGTATCCTGAATTCGCCGAAATCCCCCAAAACAGGGGGGTGGAATTTGATGGATTCAGGTACGTTAGGGTTTAACCTATACGCTTAGTGCGGCATCGGCGCATTTTTTTCCTCATGTGGACAGCAATTTTACTCTAAATTGTCCACCTTTTCACTCAAAAGATTTGATACATGTATGCCCAACTCTACCCGTACACTTCCAACTTAATTACTTGGCTTCACCATAGAACAATCAATTTATGAACCCTGATTCATTAAGTATTATTCCTTGTAGACAAATGATTACAGACTTATGTGATGTCAGGGACACACACTTCTTTACATTAACCCTAACCCACCTCACTCCTCCAAAATCCTCCTGGCGGTTTTGGAGGATTCTAGAGGATTGAGGATGAATGGTGATTGAATCAAATGAGGATTCTGGAGGATTGAGGATGAATGGTGATTGAAGCACATGAGGATTTTGGAGGATTGAGGATGAATGGTGAATGAAGCACAAGAGGATTTTGGAGGATTGAGGATGAATGCATTTTGAGGCAGGACTGTCTGATGATTTTGAAGGATTTGGCGTTGGTTATCCTTCATTTAAACATGAGTGCAAAGTTTTGGGATGAGGAGGATTTTGGAGGATTGAGGATGAATGCATTTTGAGGCAGGACTGTCTGACAATTTTGAAAAATTTAGGCGGAGTTGAAAAATTTTGGAGGATTTTGGAGGATTGAGGATGGTTGTAAGCAACAAGGGCCTAGGGGGTTAGGGTTAAATGTTGATAACTATTTATTATAAAGTTTACTACAAACTTTCTCTGGCCTCAAAATCATTGAAGGCAATGACCTAAATGTCACTCCATAATCACCCTGAAGTAATTTACTTTGTTTGCAACTAACAAGAAACCAAGTAACTTTTTAGACAACTGAATTAATTCTGCTCATTCCTAACTTTAATTGGCCTATCGCCATTTGCGAGTTAGCCACGCCCCTTAGACAACCGTATGGAATTTTGACTGCATTGCCTACATGAATGACGCCTGACGCTCACATGAAGACAGTATGACGTGCGCAAACAAGTATGTGCGTGTTCTACATAACCCCCGAGGACCGACACACAAAGGGAGAACAACAGATCCTTTCAGTCCTTGGAAATTGGGTCTTTTGTTGGAAATGGTCCTCTGTAGTAAGTTTGTGTGCTTAGTCTATGGGAGAGTGCTATATTACAGGGACAAAGGGAAACACAAAGCATTCTCCTCGAGAGTATAGTAAAACACGACTGTATGAGCATGCAGTGTGTCCCATCCAAGGAGCTCTCGAAAGTGGTCAAAAAGCACCCTCTCTAGTTCGTGCATGGAGTCCTTAATTTCTTACTGACAAATGGACAAAAAATGATCGGGCACATTCACACTATTTCTTATCACATTGTATTCCATGATCATCACTATGATCATTTACAGTAGGCCTTAATACAGTAATAGTTGACACTCTACATACCTGTACATGTACCCACAATGTGCTCTTTCATGCCATCTTAACAAGGTAATTCATCTACCATCACAGGATTTGAAACTCCATAGAAAGGTACACAGGCGCCAACAAGGCCTAGTTCTTTACTCCAAATGTACTGTAGCGTGCATCTTTTGAATTTCCATAAATGATTCAGAGTAATTGCAGAATACCCCGCCACTTGAAAATCACACCCTAAAAATCAATGGCTACGTAGTTGAAGGAGTTTGGAAAAAGTCGAAGTTCAATGTCGGTCCCCTGTGGCTACACAGATAGATAAATGGGAATGAGTCGGGAAGGGCCGAAAGAGGGGTGAGTATTTTCCCTTTTTAAAAAAAAATCCTCCACGGGGAATGAATCAGTACTAACTGCGAAAATTGAATGGGGAGGATCGAAAAAGTCCAAGTCCCATGTAGGTTTCTCCGGAGTGGCTACGTGGATATGGGGATACAATATGGGAGTCGGGGAGGGCCAAAAGAGGGCGCTATTTCCCCGTTTGAACAAAATGTTCCAAGAGTAATGAATCAGTATGCCTACGTACTTTCAATTGAATGGGGAGGATTGAAAAATAAGTCTTTAAGTCCAGTTTTGGTCCCTGGCCACCCGAGTCCATTTTCAGTACGAACTCTCCACGTGAAGACGTACACGCGCGTGCCGTTGGCCGGCTGCCATGGCGGCAGCGTGCGGGTGTGCATGTACGCGCGTGTAATCTTCACACGCGGAGTTCGTACTGAAAATGTTTTCAACGAAAGCGTGGAATTGCGGTTTATTTTCGGTAAACATGCCGCCGGCGGACATGTATTGGCCTTTTTTAAACCCATCGCAGGCACAATTCTGGACACAAGGAATATGTAAGCGAAATTTCAGCTTCCTCCGTCAGGTAAAAATATGGAAAAAAATGTGTTATAATTTTTTTCGCTATGGCGAGGAGAGAGTCATACCCTGAACTCTAGCCCAGGTGGACTCCCTTTCCTCCCTACGTAACGGAGGGAGTCCAGGGTATGAAGTGCTCAAAACCGGGCGAAAATATTTATGACCAATATTTTCAATATTTTTACCTTGTTGGAGAAGCCAATTTTTACGTCGTAGTAGGCCTATTCTATGTGTCCTTATCTATTGGGCCGCTGGGTTCAGGAATTCCATATGCGATGCTGATCAGGAAAATAAACTCTAAAGCAACGTTAAACTTGTACGTGTTTGTAGACTCTTTTCATCAGTTTCTCACCGCCGAGTCTATTCTAGTCGTACATGACGTACGTCCGTGCAGCGTGTAGTCTGGTTCCCTAAACCTGACAATTATACTCGGCGCTCATATCACGTCTGGTCTGGGAGCCAGACTATGCCGCGTGAATATGCAGTGCGCACGCGCGATTTGCTTAGTAACCATCCTCATACGCACGCGCACTTACTTGAAGGCGCGGTCGCTAATCCAATGACCGAGCGTGTTTTCGCGCCAGTTACCAGAAACATGTTTCGGCTTTGGTCATTGGTTGAGCGTTTTCGTGACGTCGGTTGGCTGGAGTGACGTCACTGTTCCAACCAAAACTAAACAAATGAGGGCGCTAGCGTGCGTGCGCGCTTTCGTGTGCACGTATATGACGTACGACTCGGGAATAAAACTGATGAAAAGAGACTACAAACACGTACAAGTTTAACGTTGCTTTAGAGTTTATTTTCCTGATTAATGTCGGTCAGCATCACATATGGAATTCCTGAACCCCTGGATCAATAGAGAAGGACACATAGAAAATGTAGGCGTGAAATAAGCTTCTGTAATTGTAACGAGGTAAAACGTAACAAAATTCTGGTCCAAATTTTGGGTGGTCTTATGTAGAGAATTCTCATCCTGAACGTTAGTCGTAATGCAATGAAGACTTCGTCCAACCTGGGCTACCTGGACTCCCTTGCGTGTACACAACGGATCCAACATGGGCTACACAGTAATGTAATGTTCACTTTTGTCATGGAGCTGGAGGGACGATTTCGCTTGTTTCAAAATGACAACGCGTATTTACAAGCCACATTCGGAGGTCTAGCGCGGAACCAGACAAAGACTCTTCACAAATACACAATGTCAATGTCAATAAAAATTGCCCATGTTCAGTGACACTGACACTGTGCCGTGTCGTTACATTACAGTCAATAATAATATGAAAAACAATCGGGCACCGATTCACAGTTGATAATATATTGCACTGCCACTGGCGCTACCTTCATAAAACTTATCATTAATTAACAATAACAGAAACACACAAAAAATCACAAATACATACAATTCAATGTGCCGCATGGTTAACCATGTTATTGTTAAACGTGCACGTACGTTAAACCAATGCCAATTGCCAATGCCAATTGCCAATGCAAAAGCCAATGAAAAACACCAGGTTTTTGTTTTGAAGCAAAGGTTGATAATTACAAACTTACCTCAGATGTCTAAATTAGACACGCAATATCGTCATCTCGAAAGATGTTGTTCCATTGTGAGCTGCATTTATGCACATTTTCCATCTAAATTCGGGATATTTAACGGGTCACCGTGAAGTTTCGCGGAAGGAAACGACTTCGTTATGTAGAGCTCACAACGCATGCGCAAAAGATAATTTCTAGCAATGCACACGAGATGCAAGGTTTATGAAACTGGTATCCGTCCGTAAAAGATAACGTTCGGCTAATGAAGGGACCACGTTTACCTGGCACTCGTCTGGCAATTGAGGGCGCTTTTACTCACGTCGATTTCTAGCTTTTTGTTGTGAGTGGAATATACAGCAAGGAACAGATTTAGTCGGCAACACCTTTTTTTTAACAGAATTTGATAATTATTTTCCCCCCATTGACGAGGATCAGTGAATTTGTATACATACAACGGTGAAGGATTTTTCAAAGTACCTAAATATTTCAAGATCAAAGGTTTCTTTTTAGATTTCAAAATAGATTCAGGGTTATTATTACAAAAGCGGCCCTCAAACCAAATTCAGGAAAAAATACAATCAATGTAACTAATAAAAAATGAAACTAACATGGGACATTAAATTAAATAATTGAATTTAAAAGCACATACTTGAGAGGGGGTAGAAGCAGTCCATGTACAAAACTCAAACCGAGTTGCTTTATTTTTGGGGGAGGGGTGGTGTTTGGGGGAGCGTTTGGGGGACAACTAGGGTACAGGCCCGGATTATCCAATAGGCACTGTGCCGCGAAAACGGGGGCCTTCGAAGTATTTAAGGGGCTTTAAAAATACCGCAGTGTGTGTCATAAAACACACACAGTCTTGTTCCGTAGTTGTGGGGGCCGTATCATAAGTCCGACGCCTCATAGGTCCGACGCCTCATAAGTCCGAAATTTCGGACTTATGAGGCGTCGGACTTATGAGGCATAACATTTATTTATTCCGCCTCATAGGTCCGACGCCTCATAAGTCCGACCGTCGGAAAAACGAGGCGTTTAATTTGTCGGACCTACGAGGCATCGGAGCTATGAGGCGTCGGAGCTATGTCGAGGCGTCGGACTTATGAGCCTTTATTTGGTTAGGGGATGCGATTTTGTCGGACTTATGAGGCGACGGACCTATGAGGCGTCGGACTTATGAGCGGACCCCGTTGTAGGGACAAACACTCGATCGTCTGTACGATTTGTTGGGACCGAAAATGCTGTGGGGACAGCAGAAAGTCCCCATAAATCGGTCCTAATGTGCCTAACAAACAAAAAAACTTCCCCGCATAACGCGGTGTATAGGCCATGGCACACACGCAAGTGTGTAAACACCTTCAAACGTGGACTCCCCCTCTTTAGGAAGACCTCCCATATGTCTTGACACGGTCAAATTGTGCATGTGGACCTTCGGGAATATGTGGACCCTACTTAATTGTCCTCTGTTTTTATCGTCTCCTTGAATGCAAAAACAAACCCACCTACACCCACACCCCCGCACAAACAAGAACAGTTTTTAAAAGTCGCATTTTTTTCCACAACATCGTCAAATTTTTCGGGACATGACATTCACTACATGCATTGATGATGTCGCGAATTAAATTGTTGCGATAATATTTCCCCACCACCTTTAAGGATGGTCGTATGATGACTTTGAACGCACTGATACGTGTTTTACAGCATGACTTTTTCCCTCTAGCACCGGTTGATCATATTTTTACGTACAAAATGAATGGGTTATTTTAAGTGCGGAAGTAAAATCTAACTGGACAGAGTTGATGAGTATTATTATATAGGCCTAAATAAAGTCTCCCAATTATAAAGCACATAATTCTGTGAGCGACAGGTCGGGTTCGAGCTGGGTAAATGCCAGTCTTTGCTCAATTCGTGATCGTTTATGTCCTTTTCATTTTTTTTGTCTATAGAAACGTAAATGCATGAATTATGTTTTGAAAAACGAAAAGGAAAACATTCATTTGTTTGCAAAAGTTTGCGATGTCACGAAAAAAAAAATGCGATGAAGTGAAAACAAGTTTGCGATGTCTTAAAAAAAATATCTTTGACGTCCCTTTAGCAGGATGTCAAGTGCGCATTTTTGGAAATTTTCGTTTAACTTTAATAGTTGTTGGTTTGTAATTCGGCGTTGACACCACGCACAAGCGCAATTCAAAACTAAGCAACTTTTGAATTGAAATTGAGATCCTAGAATCACAAATGACAGATGAAATCATCGTCGTCGTCGTTCGTATAGCTCGTTCCTGGAGGTATCACACCGGAACGTCAGTTCTCAACCACTCCAATGGTGTCGTCAAGGTCGATCAGGCCAGCAGGTCCGTAGATTGGACACTCTCGTAGGATGTGTGTGGTCGTCTGTGGAGACCCACAGGGGCAGGTGTTGTCGGCTCTGGTGCCAACTAGGTGGAGGAACGAGTTGGTTTTCCGCATCCCGTCCGTAGTCGGTTGAGCCTAACCCAGGGCTTGCGCTCGAGGTTGTGCCCTGCTGGCTTTGTTGATGAACTCGTGCAGGCTGGTGGTCATGCTCTCCCACTGCTCTCTCCATCGATCTGCTACCCAGGACGGGGAGAGTGAGGGACCGTTCTTTAGCTCACAAGTACGGGTTACGAGCTACCGGGCGTGTTAGCCTTCTGTGAGAGCTTGAGGGTCAGATGGTCACGTCTGATGCTCGCGGGTTGGATGCCTACGACCATGGGCAACATGCATGCAGGGGTACGTGCGTTTTGGCGGTCATGACCAAGAATTGGTTCGGTAGTTTCTTGTCGGTGAATTTCTTCAGCAGTTTTAATTGGGTTAGAATTACGCATGATCATGTAGTACTCAAATCCCCAAAACAATTAACCAAAGAGAGTTCTGCTTTGGAGATTGGCCCTGACAGGTCGCTTGAGGCGGGTTGGGTGGAGATGAGTTCTTTTATTTCCTCACTGACTCTTCGGTTGTGGTTTGTCTACGAGGACAGATGCAATTTAGTTTGCAGGAACTGGACAGGGTTTTGTTACTGCTTCGACCAGTGAGTCCGGGTTGATCGTGCATGGCCCATGCCTTCGGGCTGGAGTGGGTGAAATCAATAGTGGTTACAAATGAAATACCCGACCTTTATAAGTCTAACTTTGAGCTATGTGATAGGCCTACTATTTTATGATGTGTAAAATCTAGTGTGAACATTTCTTGTGCTGCATTTTTGAAACGCATGTCTGACTGTGGATCGCTCAAGTTCAGAATAAATAAAAGATACAGAGAAGTTAACTATTGTTTCTAAATCATCTCCCGACGCAATGCGTAGGCCTACATGCCCGAGACAAGGGCGACAAAGTAAATACAGACCCTGCTTGTACGCGGCAACGGGGCGGATCCAGAACCAGAGAGACCCGGTACCCTTAGCTTGCAGTGGGGCGCCCAACCGGCGGCTCAGACGGTAGCCGGCCGGCGCGCGGGGAAGCAGGACCTCATTTGACGTAAGGGTATCATGATGCTCTTTCTCAATGGCGTAACTATAGGGTCAAAATTCCGAGGGCGCACCCGAGATGCACCACTTTTTCAATGGGAACACCTGAAGGCAATTAAGTGATATGCTTTTGTTATTGAAATTCAAGATTTCAAATGGGGGCATGGATGGCACGCCGCGGGGGCACGTCCCTCCCCTCCCCCCTCCCCCCTCCTCCTGTTTCCCCCGTTCACTGCTCTTTCCCCTTTTACTTATAACTCATACGTTTAGGGATCTATTTAAAACAGTCGTCTTTAATCACACCTTTTTCGGGGTTGGGGTAGTGGGGGGGGGGGGGGGGCAGGGGTGTGCTGGGGGTGGACAGCCCCCGTGCGGGTTGCACCCCCCCCCCCCCGATCGGATCCGCCCTTATTATATACCATGCCATGCTACATGTGTGAGTGAAAACATGCCTGACTGTCACTTGCGGAAGGAGATGCAAGATTTTCATTCTTAATTCATCGCCGCTTTCACGAAAGGACGAATTTGTTGTAAAAAATATATAGCCTCATGTTTTTTACTATTTTTTTTACACACATCTAGCGACTAGTCAGCCATTATATATTACGTCCATCGTCGCATTGCGGGCATATAGCTGCATGTTTCGACACGATGTATTTTTCGCGAAAAATATTATAATCAACCACCCGTACGATGCAAGTCCGGACTTGACAGCTGACGTACGGACATGTACTGAAGAGATGTATCTCGCTCCGTCAATAAAAGATAGCGCCCTCATAGTCACTGCAGTGTACTGATTTGCATGAGATAATGTTGTTGACGATTAGGCCTTTTTCCCTGAACCTGCCGCTTGAACAAAGAAGTACCTATTTTTAACTGATGTTGTTTTTTCCGGATCTGTGACCAAAAACAGTATGAAAAACAACATTTATCTATTTTTGACCAACTTTAGGTATTGGAAACCGCTAGCAAACGAATTGTATTCTCTTAAATAAAGCGGATTGATATTGCTGTTGCTCCGCCCACTTCAGACACGTGGTTCTGCGCGTGGCGTTGAGCAGACGCCATATTGCAAGAAATTGACCGAGAAGCGACCGAAACACAGGCCAAAAATCCTTCAAAAATGAGTGACGATGAGCCCGATGTTGAGATCGAAAGCGATGTAAGCAGACATCAATATATACTTTATCAAGATATATTTGTTTCATTTCATTTGTGAATTGTGGTTCGTAAATAATCCTCCCAGAAGTGGAACGTTCGGTTCAGATGTTGAGAAATAGTACCGAGGATACATGCGTGGAATCATTATGTTTACATGTTGACAGCAGCGTGTTCATTGGTATGCATGTGCATGCGTGCCGTGTAATGCACGTACAGCCACAGCGACGTGTGTCTTGCACGCATGTGATGTGGTGTGGTGTTTACATGCGCACACACCGTCAGGTCAACACGTACACATGCATGACATGGGTTGGGTCTGGCCTTGGATTGTTGTGTCGTTCGACGTGTTTCAAATTGGATTCTTTTCAAAATCCCTTATGTTTGAAAACTTAAATTGGTTCTCTCTTACTTGCATGCATTACGTTTACAGTGTTAAGTACAATCTTGTTTCAAAACTTCACAATCACAAGATCTAATCTGCTGCCTGGACTTCTTAAGTTGTACAAAACAAATAAGTACAACATTGCCATTGGTACTTTTGGAATAGACCTTATTTATACATGTTATGCAGCCATCTTTAGAGGGCATCTTTTGTTATTTTAATTCGTAACAATGGATGCACAAAAGGTTCACTAGTGCATATCCCAGCAAAACAAAGCTATTGCCATAAGATGGGGAAAGAAGGTTGCATCCTGATGCCACTTTCTTTCACAAATGTTGAAGAGACATGAATCTGGGACTGAGAAACATTTCCAACTTTGTTAGAAAATATTTTGAAAATGCCCTGAGCTCTCCATAGACTTAGTACACAACCAAAGAAATGGCGTCTGGATGCTACATTCTTTCCTAAGATGGGTGCTACGGATAAGGTCTATTAAAAAAAGTTTGTAACTTTTAGCCTGTAGTGTCAGCATATTATGCGGGAGATGTGTAAAGTGATGATGCTTATATTTCATTATTGGGCCTAGGCGTATATTTTTGTTAATCCTCTGAAAAATTTAAACCAAAGCAAATCTCTGCAGGACATATATTTGCAATTTTAATACACTGCCTTTTTTAACTCTGCGTTTGTACTTGACATGTGAGATAAAAAAAATTGAGCATCTAGCATCTACGCTGGTACTCAGCAATGTCCACTTCTGGATGTTACATGTATTAGCCTTTCACCAAGGCCATCGTGGCTTAACTTGCCCGCATTAGACAAAGCGGCGAAGACGCGAAGCGACTGGAGCGGGAGACCACAGACGCGAGTGGCGAAGCCGCGAGGGCCTTTTCTAACTTGTCAAGAAATTCTTATGTTTTTCTTTACAATCTCGATTTTTGCTACCCCCAAAGGGTAGCAAAATTCCAACCAATCATCGGCCTTTTAGTGCGTGCGTGGCTACTACCCGGACGCATCGACGTGCCCAGATGCTTGCACAAAATTTAAGAACAAAAAATGCGGGTCTAGTTTTCCACGAGATCGTGACGGCGTAAATTTTACTTATAAAAGTATTTCAAGAAATTATTTGAGTGTATGAACTTGTTTTTCATCTGAACTTACAGTTATTTGCTCTTACGTTTTCCTTACTCACCCTTCTTTTAAACATGGAAGCGACTAGGCAAAATCCGCATTGTGATTGGTTTACCTTCAGCACTCTTCTTATTTGCATAAAAAAAACTATGAATAATTCAACAAAATCAAGTTGGGAAAGGCCTCGTGGCTTTGCCACTCGTGCGTGCTGACTAAATCTTTGCTCCAGTCGCTTCGGGCTTCGCAGCTCCGCCGCTCTAAGCCACGATGGCCTTGGAGAAAGGCTAGGATGTTATTAATGCTGAGGTGAAACTTAAGGTGCATATGAAGCAGGAGGAAGATTGTGCAAAAGAAGATGCATGTGTCATCATTTTTCCACTTTTCAGCCATGTGCACTTCGCATAGAATTGCCCATAATTATGACAAATTAAGTGACTGTTTTTGGACTCTGCAAACTTGAAATTGAGTTTATGCTTCCTTAGGATGCATTTTATGCACACATGAAGTAACTACTTTTACCATAGTTCTGTGGACCACACAACTGATAAACGATAGTTATTGTGGGGACCAAAAATGCTGTGGAGAAAGTTGGAAGTCCCCACAACTCGGTCCTAATTTCTCTAACAAAGTTTTATTTTAAAAGTCAAAAATGGTACACACAGGAGGTACAATGAACACTGCCATGCATTGTGTGATGTTTATCTTCATTTGACATGCAGATTATTTTGTATTCCAAAAATACACGCAAACTGGATCTATCCCATCAAATAGAAATACATTGGGTCCTACGTATGTAGTTAAGTTCATTGTGTTGACGGATTGATGTCATGAGGTGAGGCCCAGACAATCAAAAACTCGTGACAGCTTTTGAAGTGATTCCACAGTTCACCCATTTTTTTTCTTTACCTAGACATGTTGAAGCTTGGGTAAACAAGTTCAGAATGACTATTCACTTTAAAAGTCAGTCGTATGGATTGATAAAGTCGGTATCAATGTCAATTTGGTGTTAAAGAAAAGACCGAAATTGTTTTGTTGAAAATGTGACTGTATGAAAACTAAAGCAATAAAATCATTCAAAATTAATCTTTCCCTCCACTTTTTTTTGGGGGGGGGGGGGGGGGGGGGCGAGAGGTCAGTAGCTTTTTATGGTTTTTTGTTTTTTGGGGGGGAACCAACTCACTCTGGGGGAGCTGTTCAGAGATGCAGTTTTAAGCCCATTCCCCAAAATACAATTTTGCATATACCGGTATCGTCGCGTCGTGCAACAAGGTCGTATCTCTTAGCGTTTACGTGAAACGCAAGTTTTAGAATGTTAAAGGCCGTATCTCGCTTAAAATTACCCGGAGTTACACGCTAAGTCAATAGACGTCGAGATACGACGTTTTTGTACAGAGCGTATTTGCGTGAGATACGACTTTGTCGCAGAATCGAGTTACGACCTTGTTGCACTGACACGACGATATGTGTAAAAGGGCAGGGATATATTATCGGGGGGGGGGGGGGGTTTAGTCTGGGGGCTCAGGCGTTCACATCTGCAGAGCCACACTACAAACGTCTGATATCCAAGCATGCAAATTTATGCGACCCCGCACGCCAGCCAATCGGACTCGACTTTAGAAATTGTGATGTCATTTTGAGCAGAAATTCGGCCTAAGCTGTTGAGTAGTTAAGTGGCTGCCATGTTTTACACGGGTTACAGTCTTACAGCAGACCGATATAAGATGCCCGCCGAATGGTTAAAATCTGGAGGTCAAGACGTAGTCTTGTTTTGCATGTGGATAATTTCATCGCCGAATCAGTGCGAACATCATAGGCGTTTGTGTGCAAGCAGCTATTCCATAGACTGGGGTGGGGGGGGGGTGGTTGGATATCACCATGGGCGTCCCCAGCCCAAAAATATTTCTCTTTTTTTGGGGGGGGGACATGAACCTCAGCCACATCTCCCCATGTTTGCTGCCCATGGTTCCTCTTAAGTTCTGCTATTACTAAGTTCCCATTTGTTTCAGCCTCCGAAACAGTCCTCCCCCCCCCCTTAAAAAAAATGTGTGAGATAGGTTGAACAGTAGGCCCCCTTCTTTTTGTTAAGTGATGAGTCTTGTATAACAGTCGTGGAAAACCAGGACCAACCAACTCAGGAGGCCTAGCACTAACGAGGCACAGAACTCTGCGATTGCTGTACATGTGAAGGAATCTGGTCGATTGGTCGTCATGATCGTAGTTTCAGAACAGGAGACGTTGTGATTCTTGACAAATAGGAGCATTTGAACACAATTTTTTTTAAAAGCTTCTGGGAAAAAAATAGAACAACCATGACTGAATACGAAAAAAGGGAGCTAAGCTTCATTCTCACACATGGGGCCGGGCCGCTCAGGATATTACTAGTCGTCTAGGAATTTAGACAGTTATTTTATCCACTCCAAGCAGGTGACTGAGAATATACATCATCATACAAAGAGAGAATGCTAATAGAGTGGACTCAGATAACTTATGGGCGGAGGAACTGTTTCATCCTGGTGGGGGGAAGGGGGAGAGACTGGAAAGAACTGTGCATGTAACTGTTCAGCAAAGTGTGTATTTTTACTGTTTGTTTTGTATCTGTGTACTTTAATACCATACATGTTTTCCCAGCTCCATTCCCCTCAACCCGTCCCTATTACTCCCTCCCTTCCTATGCCCTTTCATGATGGTTATTCTTTAAATCTCTGTGTAATTTTATTTTTTATGTAACTATTCTGCAATTCCGCTGCTGGCAGCGATAGAATAGAACAATAAACCATTAATAATAATAATAATAATAATTGTATAGAGTACCAAAGTGTGACGTCAACTGTCATTGTTCTGGTTCACTCTGGTTCGCGCGCTGATCATCTTCACACACTTAAAGGGAAAATACAACATTTGCAAACATCAAAAAATAAAACTACCAAATCATTTTGAAATACCTTGCTGGACTGTTAGTGAATGACAGTGTAAAGCATCCTGTAAAATCATGGCACCTGGTATACTGTCATTTTCAAGAAAAGTGGTATTTTTGTATCAATTTCCAACACTGATCGGCCGATTAGCGTTGGAAAAAAACTGGCTTTTTTTTCAAATACTGGCCCCAATTGACCATCGCACTTGTTTGCAATCGGTTACAAACCTATGAACGGGTACGAGCCAGCTAGACTGGTTCCCTGACCTTACAATTCCCTAATGTATGTAAACTGCTCTGTTTCTTCTTATATGGAGTCAGGGAACCAGACTACAGGAAAATGATTGTTTTTCTTGGTTTTTATAGCATTTTCGAACTCAAAACCTCAAAAAAGTCAGTGTAACTATATTTGCTATATATTTCCAACCCCCAATTCCATCCATTTCTGAAAATTACAGCAAAAGCAAATGATGTATATTCCCTTTAAGCTGTGAGCGTGGAACAGAATACGCAGCGCACTTCGGTACTCCGTTGATATTAAATTGCTCTGTACATCCATGAATTCACAGCCAATCACGACAGTGTCATTTTCCGTACCAAAGAGAATAAATCAAAAGACCAATTTATTAATCTTTGCAAATGAACAAAATTGTAAGGTTTTTTTTCAGGATGGTACTGCTCATTTGAGTGCATTGCATTGCTCAGGTTTAGTTTGGAACAAAATTTTTATGTGTTTTTTTATGTTGAGGGATACTCTTGATATTCGTACTCAATTTGGTTGTAATAACCACCCCGCCCCCCCAGGCACATGTATGCTTGATGACACCGCTGGACCCAAGTAATATATAAACCTTTATCATGCTGCTACCATATCGGTCATACTCCCTGTATCACGTAGCACTACTGAATGGTATTTTTAATTATTTTTTTTGCAAAAAGGAACCAGACTATTTTTCCTTCCAGCCTCGCTTTGGTTACGTTGATTTGAATGGGGGAAAAAATCAAGATGGCCGCAACTTGATAATGGTCTATTGCAGTTGAGCTTAGTGCCTATTCAGACAGGAAAAAAAAATCTGAATAGTGCTGAACCTTTTTGACTTTCCCTTCTCTCTCCTCAGGCAGAGAAGCGAGCCCACCACAACGCTCTGGAACGCAAGCGACGAGATCACATCAAAGACAGCTTCAACTCTCTGAGGGATGCCGTGCCCAACCTGGAAGGGGAAAAGGTGATGTCAAGGGGTCCACTTTGCACTTTGCTGTAACGCTAAGCAGGAGTAAAACCCAGCCAAGAACCAATTTCAAATATCGCCCCCAATTTACCAAATTTAGTTAGTCCACATTTTGTTTGCAATTGGTTACACATCCATGAAACGGGTGCAAGATAGTCTGGTTCCCTGACCTAACAATTCCCCGACATCCATAAATTGCTTTGTTTCGTCTCAAGTAGGGTCAGGGAACTAGACTACAAGGACAGCATTTTTTTCTTGGTTTTTCCAGCATCTATGAACTCAAAACTTTTAACAGGTCAGTGTAACAATATTTACTATAAAATAAAAATAATAACCTCCAAATCCTTCCATTTCTTGAAAATTACAGCAAAAGCATATGTTGTATAGGAGAAATGGCCCATGTGTTCATCAAATCCGAAAATGTTTAATGAGTGTCTTAACTGAAAAATTTCATTCAACAATTGCCCTCAAAAATTTGATCACTATCCGTTTCCAGTGAGTGACTTGCTAGACCTTGGTGTAAAAATGAAAACTACAGTCCTCTCATTTTATTTATGGTACCTTTTTTATTCATGAACCAATGTCCTCAATTCTGGATTTTTTTGCAGGCGTCCAGAGCCCAGATTTTGAACAAAGCCACAGAGTACATCGAGTTTATGAGAAGGAAGAACAACTCGCACCAGTCAGACATTGACGGACTGAAGAGGCAGAACCTGCAACTGGATCAGCAGAGTAAGTTGGGAGAAATTGTCCTGGAACTAGGAGTGGAAAATTCTTCCAGTTCTATTTGTTGGAAAAAAACTACTACCCTAAGTCCATGCTTACAAGTATCTCCCTTCATAAGATGGAATTTTGCGTTGGGTGATGTTAATCAAACTAGGTTTTGCCCTTCACCAATGTATAACACTGTTTACTCAGTGTGTTACCTCCCGAGTGAAAGTTGGAAAAAATCACTCGGTCGGGACTCGAACCCACGACCTCCTGCTTTCTAGTGCAGACGTCTTACCACTCGACCACTGAGCTAACGGGATCGGTTGGCTGGTTCGAATCTGATGTACATAGCAGCGGGTACTGCATAACTATTCAAAAGATGGAATTTTGTGTCAGGGTGACGTTAATTGAATTTTTGGTGTCGGCATGTTTTATGGTTTTTGGGAACCTTTTTGGCTTTTTTATGCTATTTTCATCTCAGTGCCTTTTGGGCTCGTTATTTTTACACCGTTTACAATAGAAATGTTTCAGTTTTTCAGTTTAATTCATGTCACACGCTATTTCACCCCAACCCTTCCGGATACTTCAGAGTCCACCAGATGGATTTTTGAAGGTTTGAGGAAGGCAGAGCTCAGGCTAATAATAACAGGGCTTGATTACCATTGAAAGTTTGAGTCCAAACGAAGTGCCAGTATGTTTCTGTATAGAGTTAGACTTAAAGGATTCAGGATGAAGAACTCCACTGAACTTCTGTGGACTTCCACTGACAAAATGTTGCACCAAAGAAGGCTTAAGTATAAGGCCTCGCAAAATTTGTACAAATATAGGTTGCCCTTTCGGGCTGGGGTGCTTGAAATCTGGTTGCTAGAATTTCATTTTCAGTTGCCCAATAAAGAACTTTCAATATTGCCTCAAACTGAAGGCCAAATCCTAATAATGTTCATAATAATGCTGCTTACCTAAAGTGACTCGGGCATGTCAGGGCTCTCAAAATTGGTAGTCCGACCTCCTGGGACAACCACAATATTTTGTACTTGGATGCTGCGCTATTGCCATTTTGCAAGCGTGCGTGGCTGGCCGTGACCAACTGTGTGTGTGTGTGTACGGTACACTCGCTCTGCGCCACGCTGGTACATGGTGTACAGTGGTTCGGTCATAGTTGGAAACACATGTACACACAGGATTGCGTTCGCTGCCTACACACATTAGGTACGCGCAACATTACTGCAGGACCGTACGTACAGATTGAGATTGACCGCTGTTGTGTTTTGGCTGGTACCCGTTATTGTTTTATGCGTAGATTACCAACATCAATTGGCGATAGCACAGCAGCTGAGTACAAAATGGCGATATTATGATCATTGTTCGACAAAGTGCACATGTATGGGATTCTGGAACTTTTGAAAAATCCTATGAACTAAAATAAAGTGTAAAAATGTGTGAGTATTGGTGAAAACAAGTGGTTGCCCGTCGGGCTGGCAACCTGGAACTTTTGGTTGTCCGACAAAATATTTTGGTTGTCCAATGAAATTACAGTGTCTAAGACACGATATAACAAATAAGTTTATATTCTTTGAGGCACATTCTTGGCTGATCTAGAGACACAGTCTGTGAGTGCAGTGTTACATTTGCAACTAGGTGTTAACCCTCCCTGCACTCCTCTCCTTCCCTGCAGTTCGTCAACTTGAGAAGAGCCCAGGTGACCCGCTGGTGGTCAGCAACGGTCTGGCACTCCTCAGCAACCCCAAAGGTCCCGCCATCTCAGCCTTTGACGAGGAGTCCGACTCGGACTCCGATTCCTCCGAGGAGAGGTCCCACATCCCGCCCAAGAGGTTAAAAATGGGCGACGGCTCGTCCCACGAAGGGTCTGCTTCCATTTCTAGTGTGATCAAATTGCCAGTAAATAAGACATGATCTAGAGGAATTTGTATATATATATGAAACTTATGTCAGAAAGAGAGTGTGCATATATTTTGTCGCTGCCGTACCCCGCTTTCCTTGTCTCGCGTCTCGCCCCGATGACAAATCCTCATCATTAAGTGTGCAGTTGAGCCACCTGACAAGAAATCTATTTTGTAAGTTTATGTGGTTCCAAAAAACAAAAGAAATTTGTTGTCACGTGGTGCAACCGTAAACTTACTCTCCTTGCTGACCGTCACATTTTATCTAACAAATCATCATATTGTGTAGGACAGATCAATCCAGGCACCCTAACACTTCTTTCACTTCTATCTTCTTCCTAAGACGCACCGTTGGAAAGGCCTTCTTTCGTTGATTTCTTCAAAATGACAGCTTGCCAGAAAGAATAATTTCACAGGGAGTTTAGTCCCCTTACTATCTTTCAACCAAGCATGTTTTTCAACAATAATTACGCCAGTTACTTTTTGGATAGCTGCAAATGATGGACTCTGGCTTTAAGTGGGATAAATCTACAAACAGCCTTGTACAATTAACCCCATTGTCAGCTTGGAGTTGATAAGTTAAGAAACTTAAGTTCAGAAAAACAAGACCAGTAATATTTAAACTCGTAAAAAAATTCAAATTGCTGGATGAGAGTAAATCAAATTTCAAAACGTTTCAAGGAAGGCGTGGGTACAAAACACTCTCCAACTTTACTTGTCAGTTTTGGATTTTATTGTACTTTTTGTCATTCTTTGAGAACTTGGAAAAGTGTGGAGTATTTCCTAGGTGTGTATGTGCCTAGTTGTCTGGACTTCTTTGTAGAGAAGGATCGTCCTGAACAGAGGCTAATTAGTCAACTTTTTCTTGGTGTGTATTTTGTACATGTTCTGCATTTATTTTGTGGCCATACTCACTCACACTCAGTACAGGGTGATAAAAAAAAACAACGAAACCCAAATGTCTGAACTATTGTTTTAGTGAAGCTCAGCATGTAGCACTTTCAAAATCTAGCATATGAAAGCCCAATCCATAAGCTTTCTTTTAGTACAAGAATCATTCAAATCACTCATGTACTTTTCAACTTAAGGAATTTTAAACACAACCACCGTTTTAAAGTTCTGTCCACAGATCACAAAAAAAGGTGTGCGTTCTTTCAGCAAAACGAAAACAATTCACACACATCCCCATGTGATTTGTTTTCGTTTCACTGAAAGAACACTGAACTTTTTTGTGATCTGTGGACAGAACCTTAAAACAGTGGTTGTGTTTAAAATGCTGTAACTTGTTAAGTACATGAGTGATTTGAGTGATTCTTGTACTAAAAGAAAGCTTCTGAATGGGGGTTTCATAACCTAGAACTTGAAAGTGCTACATGCAGAACTTTACTAAAACAATGCTCCCGACATTTGGTTTTATTTATTTTTACTCACCCTGCACAAGCCTTCCAGGCTGTTGATACTGGAAACAACACTGCTCTGACAAAATGAACTAGCACCTCAATTTTGAGCTGTCACCTGCAGTGTTCAGTTCCTTTGATAACTTTGACGAAGCACATCTGGTTTGTTTGTTTTTTGGTTGAACAAATCTGGCGTCATGGCATAATTTCACCACCTGCTTTCAAGTCAGTTTCTGGGATATTTCGATGCAAGTCTCAGACACTGACAAGGTAGTCTTGATCCGAGACTGAACTAAGATTGTCTACCCCAATGCAGCCAGACCCTGACACATGGCATGCATGAGTAAGCCAAATCTGACATTAAGGGCAAGAACAAGATGAACCCAATCCTGTCTTTGTTGGCCAATGGAGCCCTCTGTCTCCAGTCCAACGTTGATATATTTAAGCATGCAAATTTATGCAACCCCGCGCGCCAGCCAATCGGAGTCGACTTTACAAACTGTGATGTGATTTTGATCAGAAATGTGGACTAAGCTGTCGATTGGTCTGTTTGGATACCATGTTTCATCGTGGGCGTGAAGTTAACGTGCAAGAGGGTAATCGCCTTATGCGCGTTATTAAAACATTATGTGATCATCATTCGAAGCCACAGGAAGTTTGCCCATCGCGTAACATATCGTTACAGGCCACATGACATATCGTTACAAGCCGCATGGCACAGCCTATTTTTTCTAACGCAATTCACAACATAAAAGCATAATAGATGTGTCTAGGTTTTGTTAGATGTACACATGTATATGACAATGGGTTACCGAAGACCCGATAAAGAAGACGCCCGCTGAATGGTCAGAATCTCGAGGTCAAGACCCAGTTTTGTTTTGCATAATCAATTACCCAATCTGCTTGCATATCATAGACCGGTGCTGTGCAAGGGGATATTCCATAGACTAACTAATGGAGTGCACATGATGTATGCTAGGAATTTCTCTCATCCGATTAGCAAAGTTGCGAAGACGGGATTGGATTCATCTTGTTGATAGTGCCTTCCATCTACACGGTGGCAGGATCAGGCTTGCAAATGGCTGGCCTACAGGCATGCAACTTTTCCTCGGATCCGCTGATTTCCTCGTTTTTACTTCTCATGCATGCCATTACAAATTGAAAAACACTGTACAAAGTCTTGTTATTGAAAAACACTGTACGAAGGCTTGTGTGGTTTGAAATTATTTCCTTGTTTTTTTTTAATTCCCAGTTGCATGCCTGCTGGCCGTTAGGGGAACAAAATCAGAATCCAGGCTTGGATCAAGACTACTGACAAGGGGGGGGGGGGGGGAATTGACTTCCAGTTCAGTCACTTTGCATAAGTTAAGAAACTTGAGGGTTTTCATTTTATTGAGACAAAATTATAGGTGTTCTTGTTTCTGTTTGTCTTGTGTAAATATTATGTTAATGTGTGTAACTTGTGGCGGATGAATATTTTTGTAATAAACTTGCACTGGAAGGGGGAGTGGCTTCACCGAGTGGGGGAGTAGTCCCTTATGACCTTTGACATTTAACCTCATTTCTTCTGAACAGTTTTCCTTTCTCAGAAACTTGTCCACTCGCAAAGATGGTTTGAATTTTACTATCGAACTTTTGATTCTAAATTTCCTTGCAAGTCATCACTGGCAATACACTTCTTAACGTTGTCATAACAAATTATTTATTAGGGGCACCGTTTTGCCATTTTATACCAAACACTTTGAACATTCACTGGGATGGAGGTTAGATAGGAAAAAGCTGCAGCGATATTTCTAATGTATTTCATGCATTGAACTGCTAAAACTGACAGAAAGAAAAGCTACCCTTGCTGCCAATTCTGCAGCTTTATTGGTTAACTATTCCTAACAGATGGCAACACAAATCCATATGTTTTTATATCTTCTATTCCTGTGAGGGTGCAAGCACAGCTGGGGTTCACGCCTTTCTGTACCCGTTTTGTATTTTGTAGGCATAAAGAAACTCACAAGCTGCAACAGAGCGCAATTAATGAGATAAACATCAATCCAAATTTTCATTTTTCGTATAAACATAAAACTGAAAAAAAAAGTTGGAATTTAAACCCCGGGGGCTAAGTTTGGGGTCAACTGGCACTCCAGTCTAGTCTCGATAGTTTTACTTCGATAAAGATATCTGCATTTTTTTTCTATTTTTTTTTCGTTTGGGCAATTAATGGAGTATGCAAGTAGTTCATGTAGGAAGGGACACAGGCCAGGAGAATTATGCACATGCGGCTTCTTTAATGTGGAAATTTCCGTTTGCCACTTTTTTCTGTAATACACTGAAACAAGGATGTGTGTCTCGTATGTTTATATTTGCAAAGAGCACCCAGCATAAAATATATTTATGTTTTATCGTGTCAAAGATACTATAATTTCAATGGTCTAGGGCCAAGTTCGCGCAAGGTCTATAGTTGACCAATGGTTAACTAACGTTTGCCCGAACTCTGTCTAGTCGACGGTGGTTGACTACGCTAGTCGACTATTTGGAACCAGCCTACTGTGGTTGGTTGCTTCGCTGGTAACCAATAGCCGCGCGCATTCATAACGCTAGCAGAGAGCCAGGATTCAGACATTTTGCGATGACATTTTGACCAGTTGACTAGAGACGTTCGCACGTTGCTATCAGTGCGCAGGCGTAAGGTACGTCACAAATCAACCACTAGTCGACTAATGGTCCTTGCCCGAACGTGGCCTAGATCGGCCACATGCCCAGTCCATAAACATTACTGTTTACTTCATATACACTAGTGCTGCATACAAATTATCTCATATACAACGTGTTACATTTGCACGCACGTGAAGGGTGCCTGTGTAGGGACCGGCGTGCAACAGATGCAATCTCAAATCTGACGAGAAAGCTCACAGTGATTAAAAGCTTACGCTGCAGTGATTTAATTTATTTCTTGAATAGTAAGTTAAAAGCTTTCATCTTTTTGAATAATGGCACGATATAAAAACAAATTGTTGACTGCTGAATTGTGGGATATGCCATTTGTGACTCTCGTATGTGACTACCCAAGGGCGGATCCAGGGGGGGGGGCCAAAGGGGGCCATGGCCCCCCCCCCCCCCCAAAACGAAACCAATTTTTTTTTTTTTTTTATGTGACATCGCAATAAAGGCAGGCAATGAGTACACCACCATCTTTTCCTCAAAAAAACATTGGTTAAAGTGGTCAGAAATTGCCTCAGATCGCACCACAGAGCATCTAGAATCCCAAAAATTTTCGGGGCCCTTAAGCGGGCCCCGAACCTCACGCCGTAATTTTTTTTACCCACTTTTTTGGGGACCAAAATTTTTTTTGGCCCCCCAAAAATTGTGTTCTGGATCCGCCCTTGTGACTACCTTGGGTCGCATAGCATCCTTGGCCTCGGGTCCTAGTAGTCAGGCAGATTGGTGCACAATCTGATGGAATTGTTCTTTGAATTTGACACACAGTGATAGTCAGGCATGCAACTTTTCCTCGGATCAGCTGATTTCCTCATTTTTCACCTCAGACTTTTGCCATTTAAAATTAAAAAACACTGTACAAAGTGCTGTAAAGATTGGTATTTCCTCGTTTTTTTGTTAATTCCATGTTGCATGCCTGAATAGTATGTCATGGGAAAGACATTTGGCTATAGGGCCATCGCAGAATTGTCCTTTGAACAAATATGGGTAGAATAACATGAAATGGCAGCCATTTTGAAAAATTTGAAAATTGCTTGTTATTCTACCAACCAGTATATTTTTTCAAAGTACAAAGCTGCGATGGCCCTATAGCCAAATATCTTTCCCATGACATAATCTGACTCAGACTGTGTGCCAAATTCCATTCTTTTATCATCAAATGAGCAATCCCATCACCAATCTGCTGTTCTATAGGCGCCCTTCGGGTGTTAAAAACGCCATATTGCAGCAGTCAACTAGTCGGAGTACCTAAAGACTCTACGAATCGCCTTTTTTAACATGTGGACATGGTCGGGCAATCTGTCCAAATGTTAAAAAAAGGCGATTTGTAGAGTCCTAGTTACTCGGACTAGCAGTCAACAATTGTTATGAACATACAGTTGGCAGTTGGTTGTGTAGATGACTTTTGCACAAACTAGTAGCACTTGGCAACTACATGTAGTGACAACACCTGGAATCAAGCAATAGTCCAAATAAACTTGAGTCAGGTTTTATAAACCATAAACATATTATTTTTGTCATTAAACTTCCTAAGTTTCCAAATAAATTAATTTCAGATCATTCTGGTAATTCCAACTGCAGAGCAGAACATTGTGTTTAAAAGTTCAGAGGAGGGCAGTAAAATGCATTGGTATTTCAGTTTGTATGTATTGTACATTTCAGATATGTGTTTAGGTTATTTACCGTTTGAAATCCTTCATGTTTTTTTTAATCATGAGCCGGGTTATTCAGGTACGACCTTGCTCCTTTTTGCGATGGACTTATTGAACAGAAGGTAAAGAAATAAAAGGAAAACATTGGACTATGTGTATGTACATTTCAGCCGAGTCCGAGTGATTTATTTCTTCTGTGGTATTTTTCAATTTCCCTCTTTTTTTTAGACATTAATGTACGGTTTGAAGGTTTGTTCATAGTTCAGACAAATGGATAAGCAGAGTGAATTTGATGCCACAAAACATTTCAACATACTCTTCCAGAGAAATTCAGTTGACGTATTTATAAGAAAGACCATTTCTCCCAAAGTTCCCCCCCCCCCCATCCGAATTGTCGTATGCTTTGGCTGTTTTTCCCCCTAACATTGAGCAGGAATGTTGGTTAAGCAGCCATTCTATAACATGAATTTTAGTCCGAGGTCAATACTTAAAAAGGTGTGGGTAAACATAATTTTGTACAAAAAAAGGGTTATTTTTTAATCAGTCACCACGACAACTACTGACATCTCACAGTGTTGATTTTGGTGCCATATTGACCCCTGAAAAAATTTGAAAAAGTTTGAAAAAGTCACCAAATTTCATGCAAATCTGCAAAATCATTTTAGAGATGCTACAACAGGTTTCAAGGGGGAAGCACTATACGTCGACAGTGCCCATTTTGCCTGTTGTACCTAAACATTCTAGGCAATTTCCTTCCCTTGTACCCATCAGGCTAATGGGAGATGGTACAGTTCCAAGTAGAGGGGCCTCGTAGCCGAGCGGTTAGAGCGTGGAGCTACGGAGTGGAAGGTTGGCGGTTCGAATCCCATTCGAACCAAAAACTGGAAAACTCTCCCTGACGACCCAACAGTAAAATGGGTACCTGATTCGTTCAGGGAAGGTAAGACAGCGAGAGGAGAGGACTGGGCCCCGCCACTCATATGCCACGCCCAAGACACAGTGGACCTCTAACATCCCACTGCCCCTACGGCCAGTAATGGCTATGGGATCTTTACCTTTACTTTTTACAGTTCCAAGAACATACATGGCAGTTAGTTTTAATGCCTACTCAGTTATTAGTTATTTATTTTTTTACTTTGGCAGTTTTACTGGCAGCTTGTATGTCAAGTCTGCCAACTGACCTCTTGGTCTTGCTGAAACACTTTCCTCTTACTTATAACTGACCACATTAACAGTATTACAATTCTTTAATAATGCACTTAAATTAACATTCCACAGCAAAGGTCAATGTTTCTTAACGCCCTCATTCGGCTCAATGCAAAATACAAAAGTTCATACAATGTACACAAAAGTTCACTGACAAAATAAAAACAACCTTTCTGAAAGTGTTGTTCTAAAGATTCATTTTTGTGCGTGATTGGCTCAAATGAATGAAAGTCAACAATCAACATCATTAAGTGCTTACTATAAAACAATTGCTTGTTACCAGCTAATTCCAGAGTAGTCTCTTTTCTTTTGTTGTCCAGCTGAGTCCCATGTTCATTTCAAAGAAGCATTTCTCTCTTGGAAATACTCAATCTTGGCCTTGTCATGCAGACCAATCTAGACACCAATCATAAACACTCACAGAGAGACCCAGTTATGGCGGAAGCACAGTACAAGCTATGGACTCGTGCAAAAGTACGTACCAACTCAACAATTATAAAGCAAAAGCTGGATGAGACCATGAATTGATAGGGACTTTCAAAAGCACTGCCGACGTGCATGACACTCATGACAAGGGTTCGAGCTAATGTGTGTCGGCTTGGGCTGACCAGTCCAAACCAACCCGAAACATTGCAGATATAATCCGAAACCGATCTGAACTCCCCTAATCTGACCCTACCCGACAAAAATTCAAGCAAAAGCCGACCCGAAACCAAACCGACCCAAACCGAACTGAATATCTGGTTTAGGCAACTGTGTCCACTTTGTGTTCCTGAACTTGCCCGCTTTTTCAGGTTAAAGCTATAGTCCATCATTTGTAATTTGTGCATTTTGTTCATTTGAAGCAACAAAAGAGTTCAAAATCTAATAAAGGATACTAAGCAACTAACCTGATAAAGTTTCAGCTAAGCTTCAGCTGTACATTCCGAGAAAAACCAGCATTCTAAGATCTCAATTTCAAATCAAAAGTTACTGAATCATGTTTTGAATTGCAGCTATACGCGACGTCGCGCACTGATCCGACGAATTATAACAACCGCGCGCGCGTGTGCGTCGTTCCAATACTTGCGCGCGCTGCGCTGAATAACAAAACGAACTACTAATTTAAATTTTCCTACGGTGCTTCTTCAGAATCACCGTTGGAAATGCCTTCTTTCGTTGATTACTTCAAAATGACAGCTTCCCAGAAAGAATAATTTCACAGGGAGTTTAGTTCCCTTACTATCTTTCAACTAAGTATGTTTTTCAACAATAATTACGCCAGTTACTTTTCGGATGGCTGCAAATGATGGACTATAGCTTTAAACCTGAAGAACTTTATTGAATCAAACCTATTCAGGTAGTCGCAATTAATGTAATAAAACCTACACATATACATTTCCAACATAAAAAAAAAACAATTTAAACTCCAGAAATATGTGTAGATAATGGAATCTTAGTGGAAAAGGACGAGGTGTGGTCATGCGACAGCAACTTTTACTAGGCAAAAACAAAGCACTCAATGCCAACGCTGGACGTGTAACACTTGAAATATTGTTTTACATGTACGTATAAATCACTGAGAGGTGCATGCACATACATGTACATGCACATAATGCCACTGCAACAAACACTGCTACACACTAAACACTTGGCTATTGACTCCTTGCATAAGTAATGGGAGGAATTGCTGACGGCCCTTAATGCTCTCGTGGAAATGCTGAAGTTTTGCAAGCTCATCAAGAACATATATGTTACAAGTACTTCGAACCATATGCCTGCGATACAGTGCACTCGTTTCTTACATTCATCCCGAGGTCAACAACACAAAGAGAGAACAACAGATTCTTGGTTGTCCTGGAACGTTACAAACGATCCTCGAATGTTTGTTTACTTTATTTATTTACTATTTTAACTGGGTAGTCCATTCAGTGGAACCCATAGGTCTCCCATGGGGCCCAGTAAAGAGAAGACAATATGAACAAATTTCAGTTTTAGATGTGGGAGGAAAACCCAAGAAGAATATTCTGAGGAAATCCCAAGGAATCAGGCAGGGACTGAAAACCCAATTCACATATTGGCCCGGGCAGGAATCAAACCCGGGTCACAGCGGTGAGAGGCGAGGAAAGTACCGCTACACCAACCTGACTGTAAGTCTGTGTGCTTAGTCGATGGGTGAGTGTTATATTATAGGAATAAAGGGAAAGACAATGCCTTGTCCTAGGATGTAATGGTAAAATATTACTTTGCGTGCTGCAGTGTGTTCCTCCCATTGGAGCTCTCATAAGTGGAAACAAAGCATTGTCTACTTTTCATACTTGGCGTTCACATCAAACATCCCTGCTTTTTAGTCAATAGCAAACTCAAAAAATTTGGACTGGAATTATAGCCTCATGTCTATGAATTATAGTCGCAATGAACTCAATAAACAATTACCTTTAGACTTCAAATATATTTAATTTTTAAGTTCACTTGAACTTTTCGCTGTTCCGCCGCCATACTTCTTTGAATGAACAATGCATGCGTGTGACGTATTTCCAACACTGACTCTGCTTCACGAGCAGGGTCTGTGGTGGCTGACCCGGGTGAGCCCCGAGAATGACGTCAGAGCTAATCGAACGGCACGGGGCTGACCCGTGTCGACCCGGGTGAGCTAAACGGACGCACCCAAAGATGTGTGCAGCTACTGGTAACCTAAACCAGGGACCAACCTCCGTAAAGCTGATGCAAATTTGTGGACTCAAACAGTCAGCCATCATCAACTAACGTACATTTGATCAGAATTATTCGAACAACGGTGAAACAGTCTTTGATCAAACTTGCGTGTAGTAAATTAAAGAGAGAACTGAGGTTGGAACTCTAATGCAGACGAGGGCAGACTTAAGCATAGCAGATACGGTGGGTCATATCTCTTCATCGGTCCCTGTGCACCTAGAAGATGATTGGCCCTTCATTTTGGTACAGCCAAGGTGGCAAAATACTGGTTGGCATGATAGGCAGGCTCCAAGCCTATATTGTACAGTGGATGGCTTTGTTTCTGTTGGGAGCAAGACAAAAGGTTGATTAAAAGAACAGGTTGTTAGTTTTGGAAGCCTGTTCTCTCCAATAAGACTTTAAAAAAAGCTTAAAATCGAACCTATCTATCTCAGATTAAACCAACTGCCTGGTTACTTGCAGAAAAACAGCCAAATTATTCCAAATACTTTTTTTCATAAAGAGAATGTGATGGACATATCAAGTCACACTCAAAATTTGAAACTTAATAGAATTTTTTTTTCCAAAACAACTTTTGGAAGTCCTACCAGTTCATTTTCAGGTGGTCCCATTAAGAGTTTGTGGGCCAGCTTCCCTGCAGCAAAGTGTTGAGCAACCGACAGACCACTCAGGCAGTAACAGGTGTGGTAAAAATCACGAGCCCTGCCAATGAAATCAATGAATAGATGCTAGCAAGACAAAATTAATTTTCAAGTACATGTACATTTTTTTGCTTCTTCCAGAGGGCCAGCTAAGCACCCTCTTTACACCTCACCAACTGACTGACTGACTGACTCCCCGACTGATTGTCAGTTATGACTTAGACTGGTTACCTTTCTCACTATCGCTTGTGACTTACACTGGTACACTGGTATGGGACCAGTTTTGTGAGGCCTGCCTGTTCATTTATGTGATGTAGCATAACATCATATTGTTGACGTCCCCTAACATGGTGCGGCCCCTAACGTGGCGCATTTTGATTTTTCGCCTCTAGCGCCTTGCTAGAGCAAAAGTTTTACTCAGCAAGCTCTAAATACTCCCGTTCATAAACCTTGAGTTTACTTTGTAGCTGTTACAAAGTTAAGGGAGAAAATTTAGTTTGGCTGATTTTCCAATTTTATTTTGAAGAGCATATAGTTGGATATGTGAGTGGGATAGGGCGTAATAATGATTTATCAGAATTGGTCAACTTTAAAGGAAATCCTAAATGTTCACTTGGATATTTTTTAGATTTGTTCAAATGCGCCACTTCAATTTTGGACCAAATTTCATTATTCACCAGAATTGAGCTTTCACCAGAATTTTGTGCTTTGGGACCAGCTTTAATAGACTTGCCTTGTCGTGTTTTTAAATAGAACAACAATCACAAGCACCACAAGAACTTACTTGCCAGGTTTGTCGACCAGTCCTCCATGTTTATGCTGACAGCACAAAAGAATATACTCCTGCAACGACACTGAAAAGCAAACACGACATCTTTTCTCACAAAACCAAATAATGCAAAGAACGATGTCATTAACAGCAGTGTGATCCCTTTGTAATTGTGCAAGACTCTGTTGATGATAAATGTCTATAGATACACTGTCGATGGTTTGTAGCACACAGTGTGTTGAGAGCTCTTTTATGCTTTGTGCAGGCGCAAGATATACCACTTATCAACCACTAGTTCGCCAGTGGTTCTTGATTGAACTTGATCCAAGTTAGTGTCATTGCTAGGTGTGTTCCTCTCAAACACCAAGATATACCACTTATCAACCACTAGTTAGCAAGTGGTTCTTGATTGAACTTGATTCAAGTTAGTGTCATTGCTAGGTGTGTTCCTCTCAAACACCAAGATATATCACTTATCAACCACTAGTTCACCAGTGGTTCTTGATTGAACTTGATCCAAGTTAGTGTCATTGCTAGGTGTGTTCCTCTCAAACACCAAGATATATCACTTATCAACCACTAGTTAGCAAGTGGTTCTTGATTGAACTTGATCCAAGTTAGTGTCATGGCTAGGTGTGTTCCTCTCAAACACCAAGATATACCACTTATCAACCACTAGTTCACCAGTGGTTCTTGATTGAACTTGATCCAAGTTAGTGTCATTGCTAGGTGTGTTCCTCTCAAACACCAAGATATACCACTTATCAACCACTAGTTCACCAGTGGTTCTTGATTGAACTTGATCCAAGTTAGTGTCATTGCTAGGTGTGTTCCTCTCAAACACCAAGATATATCACTTATCAACCACTAGTTAGCAAGTGGTTCTTGATTGAACTTGATCCAAGTTAGTGTCATTGCTAGGTGTGTTCCTCTCAAACACCAAGATATACCACTTATCAACCACTAGTTAGCAAGTGGTTCTTGATTGAACTTGATCCAAGTTAGTGTCATTGCTAGGTGTGTTCCTCTCAAACACCAAGATATACCACTTATCAACCACTAGTTAGCAAGTGGTTCTTGATTGAACTTGATTCAAGTTAGTGTCATTGCTAGGTGTGTTCCTCTCAAACACCAAGATATACCACTTATCAACCACTAGTTCACCAGTGGTTCTTGATTGAACTTGATCCAAGTTAGTGTCATTGCTAGGTGTGTTCCTCTCAAATACCAAGATATATCACTTATCATTGTTAGAACTACTTTGAGTTGCGCCGAAAGGTTGCACTCCCGTTTTCTGTCTGCTCTATGTTACTTTTGCAATCGTTTACCTGAGAAAAACCTCAACCTGTTACCTACCAGCTCTTCCATTGGTGATATGGATTTTGCTTGACACTTCTGAGTGCCGTTGGTAACCCTCATCTCCTTGACTCAGTGTTTGAACATTTTGCATGTGAGTCTACACTGCACCAGTGAGCCGCCATACTACTATTACAGCCAGCCCATAGCCACAACAGTACAGTAATCCCCATTGAATCTCTGCCTTCAGTCTTCACCACGCAGCATGACTGGGTTCATCTGCAGGCATGGGTAACTCTGCATTGTTCTCTATTGTAGTGATTCTATTCACATTGGGTACCATGAATTGTTTGCATCGTACATGTAGGTACCACTACAGGGGAGATGAACTCAAGCCTTTTAGCTTGGTCAAGAACAGAGTTTCTCCCGAGGTGTATGTGGCACTGAAAAACCTTGGGATATCCTCGTCGAAACCCACAAAAAGAGGTGGAAGGTCATGGGAAAAGAGACAGAAACGTATCCCTGTGATCATATCAAACACAGAGAGACCACAACAAAGCCAATGCTACAATGAGCATCCTATTTTCACAAACAATATCACCGTTCCCTTGATCAACACTCGTCATATACCACGCAGCAGAGTGGCGTTTTGGAACGCACACTCCATGATGAAAAAAACTACTGAAATCTGTGACTTCATCATGTCTGAAAATCTTGATATCCTGGCTATCACAGAGGCTTGGCTCAAGGGCGACGATCGTGATGCCCCCGTCTTGGCAGATATCATAAACACTCTACCAGATTATTGCCTCTTGAAGCTACCACGTAAGGGGAAATCTGGTGGCGGGATCTGCATCATTCTGCGTAAGAACTACAAAACCACCACCAAAGTCCACTCCTTCCAAACATTCGAATGCCTGGAGGTCACCATCAGCTCTCACAAACGTGACCCACTCACCCTGGTCACAATATACAGACCACCCATTGCAGGAAAAGGTCTCACTATATCTCACTTTTTCGGCGAGTTCTCAAAGCTCCTTGAAACCGTCAACCTCCTCACAAGTCATGCTGTCATCTGCGGTGACTTTAATATCCACGTTGACTGCTCACATAAGCCAGAAACAAAGTCCCTGAACGACCTGCTCTCTTCTGCTGGCCTCAAGCAGCTCATATCACAGCCAACCCATTCGCACGGGCATACACTCGACTTGCTCATCGTGAGTGAACATGAACACTGTGTTGAAGGTGTATCTGTAATAAACGCCATGCCGTCAGATCATGCATCTGTCACTTTCAGTGCTGCCCTCTCACGTCCTGCAGCCACAAAAACCAAAGTCCGTTTCCGCAACCTCCGGGGCATCGATATTACAAGTTTCAAGTCCGACATTGAAAACTCATTCGCTAGAGTAAATCAAACGGATAGCCTGGCTCTTGACTCCAAAGTCAACCTGTTCAACCACACACTTAAGACCACCCTTGACCACCACGCCCCGGTTAGGTCAACTGAGGTTCAGCTACGTCCACATGCCCCTTGGTACGACGATTCCCTGCGAGTGCTGAAACGCAAGAAGCGCTCAAAAGAGAGGAAATGGATGAAGTCCAACTTAGCTGTTGACCAATTAGCAATGCATCAGTCCCTCTCGGAGTACTATACTGCCCTGAAAGCCGCAAAGACACGATACCAACGACAGAAGATAACAAATAGCAGCCAGAGTGACCTCTTCCGGATTGTTCGGAGCTTGACATCAGAACAACTTCCTCAGGTCCTACCCCTCCACAACTCAAAGAAAGAACTAGCACAAAAGTTCTCATCTCATGCCAGAGGAAGCATAAAAATCCCCCATCTGACTGCTGGCGACTTCCAAGCTACACCCTCCGAATCAGTCCGCGATCTAGGTGTTATTTTCGACTGCCACCTTACTATGCGTCCACAGGTCAACGCTGTATGTCGAAAGGCATCCTTTGCTTTGAAGCGAATTGGCAAAATTCGCAGATCTCTCGATAAACGCTCCACCGAAATCCTGGTCCACGCCTTAGTTACATCTCTCCTGGACAACTGCAACTGCCTACTTACTGGCCTCCCAGACAAAGAAATTGACAAACTCCAACGCATCCAAAACTCAGCTGCCCGTCTGGTATCCCTTTTCAAGAAATGCAACCACATCACTCCAACCCTCAAATCCCTCCACTGGCTGCCCATCCGGCAGCGCATTCGCTACAAAACCCTTCTGCTTACTTTCAAGGCCCTAAACGGAACTGCTCCAAGCTACATTACTGAGCTGCTACAACCACACCATCCTCCCAGATCTCTCCGTTCATCTTCCCAGGGATTCCTCACAACAACTATACCAAGGACCAAATCATACGGCTCAAAGGCATTCTCACACGTCTCTCCCAAGTTGTGGAATGCCCTTCCATCCCCACTTCGAACAGCTCCAACCATAGACAACTTCAAATCTAACCTCAAATCCCATCTGTTTCAATTGGCCTACTCTCATTCACTGTAATTTTTGCTTACCTATGTTTGCTTTGTTAAGCGCATTGAGATTTCCCTCGGTTATGTTTTGCGCTATATAAGACTGTCTTATTATTATTATTATTATCAACCACTCGTTCACCAGTGGTTCTTGATTGAACTTGATCCAAGTTAGTGTCATTGCTAGGTGTGTTCCTCTCAAACACCAAGATATACCACTTATCAACCACTAGTTAGCAAGTGGTTCTTGATTGAACTTGATTCAAGTTAGTGTCATTGCTAGGTGTGTTCCTCTCAAATACCAAGATATATCACTTATCAACCACTAGTTAGCAAGTGGTTCTTGATTGAACTTGATCCTAGTTAGTGTCATTGCTAGGTGTGTTCCTCTCAAACACCAACGCGCAAGTTCGGGCAAGGACCATTCGTTGATTACTGGTTGATTTGTGATGTTAACTTATGATTGCGCACTAATTACAATGTGTAAATGTCTCTGTCAAACGCTGGTCAAAATGTCATCTTGAAACTCCTTGGTCCTGGCTCCCCGTTGTGCTTTATGATGTGCACAGCTATCAGTAAACTATGGTCAACCACAGTGCTTAACCCTCCTATTTAAAGAGTCAGCGAGTCAAAATTTCCATCCACTTCCCCTGCTATACTTTTAACACAGGCTAGTTACCAGCACAGATCATACATACAAGCAAGCACTGTGACTAGTCAAACGCAGTCAACAGACCATGAACAGACAAAGCAGGCAAGTTGTGGGCACAGCTGGCTTATCAATTACCTACAGTCAAAGCAAAGCTGTATCAAGTTACATAAACAGTCCCAGCCAGTCAATCTTGCTTTATGTAGGCTGGGAATACTTAACTGTTGAAAAAAGTTACTTGATTTTGACTGAAAGGACTACTTGGCACAGAATGTAGGTTTGCAGAGGAGGGCTAATCAAAATCTGTGCTGACTGAATCATGCACTGTCTTACATACATAGAATAAACAAAGGAGACACAAGTGGATTGTTCAGGTAAAAATTAAAATTCTTAACATTAAAAAACTGTTCTCTTCAAAGTAACACAAGTAAGACATACTTTGGTCAAATATCCAATCAGTAGCACTGAGCGCAGCATCTTTGTGAGCTCCTAGTATACTGTGGATGAGCGGATAGGTACCAGCCTGCCAGAAGGAGTAACAACCATCCACTAGCTTGTTGGTCCGTCCCTGGAAACCTCCTTCATACTTCATCTGTCGGTTGCTCAACCATCTCTGCCATTTTGGGGAGGAACACAAGAGCTCAACTGAAAGGCTACCTTGTATCTCATGTGATTGCACTATGTGAAGCCAATTTGATGTCCAAAATGACTCGCGGCAAAATGCTGGAGCCATTGTCTGTAATTTTTGAGCAGATTCGCTGATTAATTATGCAAGACAACCGCATCTTGACCTCTAGATTTTGGCCAATCAGCGGGCGCTTTCTATATCGGGTCTTCGGTCATTCACCCGTTGTCGCGTCACAGACATGGATACAAAAAGAAACCTAGACACAGCAACAAAGGCTGTGGTCACGCGCTCACATATCATGTTACGCGATACGCGCCTCGCTGTTGTTGTATTACAAATCACTGCATTTCAATTGGCCAATCAAACATTTAGTCCTGATTTAGGAATGAAATGACGTCATGATTTAGTAAAGTTGACTCCAATTAATCGCATAAATCTGCAAGCTTTGATATATCAGATTTTATACGGAGACTGGCTCCGTGGAAAACGGCTGATACTCAGACTACCCTCGGTATTGGAAGCTGACAAACTAGTTCCCTCAGCTTCCACTTGAAAACTAGTTTGTCAATAGCGTGTGTAAGTCTCGCCAGTCCAGCCATGTTCACTTTTTATGTAAAAATCATGGTACCAAACTCCAGTCACAGACTCCTGTGTCCAAATTTACCCATTTGTTATCTGCATGATGGATTGAACGGAAGTTGGGGTCAACAATTTGAATTTTATAATCGTCATGAATTCGCAATATTTTCAATTTGTTGTAAATTGTAATGCTTTCTTTTCAATCAAAATATCCATTTATTGCCCTTGATTGAATGGGCCCAGATAGGACACAAGATAAATGCAAAAAAATAGGATGTATGTTGTAGATCCTATACACAGTACCAGATGTGTTGTATTCTCGTAAAATCTCACTGGCTTTGAGGTCAACTTACAGGCTCTACTTTCAATGTTTCTAATATTTCTAATATCGACTATCCACCCTCAAACGATGCTATATTTGTATAATACTTGCCCAGGCTTGATGTCAGAAATTCTCACTTGACTCTGTAGCAGTTTTCTATGGTCTCAGGTCTTTACAATATAGACCTTAAATGCATTGTGGCCGAGTTTGAGAGCAATGATTCACTTCTCCACTTCTCGTCAGTGTAGTTGCATGCATGTTCTGTTCTTGATTTTCAGCCATGGATGCTTGCAAAATTCACCCTAGTAATGGCAGCAATTATGTGCCATCACCAACCATGTATCACTAGCAAGCAACAGGTACATTTCTATATATAGAAATGTAATTCAGGGAATTACAGCTCTCAGTTGTGTGAAAACAGTTGTGTGTGTCAAGCGAGTCATGTTAAGAAAACAATCCCATTCATGAAATGTTTTGTTTTTCAAACCTTGTGAGTTTTTTTGGAATGTCACAATGGCTTTAACCTCACCCGAATCTTACAGGAAACAAATTCACACTAGGAACCAGAAATGTCTGACGAGCTTTTGTGCCAGACAAAATGTACAAACGTGGTCAATGGTGATTGTTTTTCAGATATTTGGTCACTGTTTCAGACACTGTATGTAACCCTGTAAAAACAACATACGTTTCAGACACCCTGTAAACCTCAAATTAACCCTACCAAGAAATTGGCCTTGTTAAGCTTCTCACATTTCCAGTTGACTGACAGGCCAGCTTGTTGTTAAGCTTACACTTCAGATATTTTGAGGCTAACAAGATGTTTGAAACGTAAATGGTTTTAACAGGTTAATGGTTCAGACATTCAACATGTCTGAACTGTAAGATAAGATTATGTTTCAGACTTAAAATGTCTGAAACAGTTACAAAATATCCGAAATATCATCACCATTGTTCATGTTTCAGACATTTTGTCCGGAGCGAAAGCATTTCAGAGATTTCTGTGTCAAGGTCTCACCAGTAACGCTTCTGTGTCACATAGCCTCTCATGACCCAGCAGCACCAAGGCAGCTACGCTACAGAAGGAGTAGCCTCCATGGGCCTCCATACCTGGCTGTCCTGCAAAACCTCCCTCATACGACTGGCAACTATAGGATAGATAACCAAAACAAAACACAAAAATAGCCAACAACAAAGCCGATGAAAAGTCCATGTGTGGATATTTTTTTGTTTTAATCAAGTGACCACAAAGGGAAACAAAGGTTCAGATATAATAATTTGAACAAAGAAATTGACTGGAGCGGGGTTTGAACCTGCGACCTCCGGATTACCTTTCCAGTGCGCTACCATTTGAGCTATCTAGCCCTGTATGTGGGCAGTTTCCCAGTTTGTCAATATCGTTGTTCAAGGGCGCTAGTCAGACTTGATAACGACATAATTGGAAACCAGCCAACATAGGGCTGGATAGCTCAGTTGGTAGAGCATCGGTGCGGTAATCCGGAGGTTGCAGGTTCAGTCCCTGCTCCATACAGTTTATTTTGTATGTTGCTTTTGATCCTTTCTTAAGTTTACTTCTAAAATAAGGACAATAATGGAAAATATACAAATTTATGTTTATTTGAGATTTTGTGTAATTATTGCCTTGTTTTTCTTTAAGCTGTCACAATCAACACGGACTTTGTGCTGAAAGGGAAGGTACAAGTAGCAATGGCACATTCTTGGGCATCTCATGGCACCACTGAATTCAACCTTGGCATAAGACGGTTTTTGGAATTTGTTTTGAAATCACCTGTTGATCAGTCACCCAGGACAGCAGGAGTGTATTTGTCGTGTTTTTGTATTTATATTTAATTATTAAATTTAATTTGATGTAAGTTGTAGGTTTTTAAATTGTTAAGTTTGTCAACTGAAATGGACTACCCTAAAAGATTACAACAAATTAAATAAAATAAAGGTGTACATTTTCTCCCTTCGTTGTGAGGCCTACTTTCAGAAGGTGGACATTTTACCTATTTGTTTTTTACATTAAGTTACTGATTTTACTTGCACACGATTATTTCAATTTTTTTCACTGGCTCATTTTCTTGTTATTTTTTAAATGAATATTTTGTTGTTTTATCTCCCAGTTCATATTCCCTGTATTTCAATACCATTTGGCTGTTTCGCCAAATTGTCGAAAAAGCCATTGTTTTTGTTCTTTGTTTCGATTGTGAAGTTTAGGACACTTTTCCCCATGGCTGAACACCTTTTTTTGCTACATTCTGACAAGAATCTGAAACTGAACCATGCCAGCAAGAATCAATTTCTGTTCAGATGGCAAGAGTGTGGACATTTTTATAAACAATTTTAAAGCTATAGTCCATCATTTGCAGCTATCCGAAAAGTAACTGGCGTAATTATTGTTAAAAAACATACTTGGTTGAAAGATAGTAAGGGGACTAAACTCCCTGTGAAATTATTCTTTCTGGCAAGCTGTCATTTTGAAGTAATCAACGAAAGAAGGCCTTTCCAATGGTGCGTCTTAAAGCTATAGTCCATCATTTGCAGCTATCCGAAAAGTAACTGGCATAATTATTGTTGAAAAACATACTTGGTTGAAAGATAGTAAGGGGACTAAACTCCCTGTGAAATTATTCTTTCTGGCAAGCTGTCATTTTGAAGTAATCAACGAAAGAAGGCCTTTCCAACGGTGCTTCTTAAGACGCACCGTAGGAAATTTAAATTAGTAGTTCGTTTTGTTATTCGGCGAAGTGTGCGCAAGCATTGGCACGACGCACACGCGGTTGCTATAATTCGTCGGATCAGTGCGCGACATCGCGCAGCTGCAATCGGCTCAGTGAGAACGTGTCTCGGACGCCGAATTCATGCCCAATTCAAAACATGATTCAGCAACTTTTGATTTGAAATTGAGATCCTAGAATGCTGTTTTTCTCGGAATATACAGCTGAAGCTGAGCTGAAACTTCATTAGCTAATTAGGTTAGTTGTTCAATACCCTTCTTTAGATTTTGAGCACTTTTGTTGCACTTCAAACAAACAAAATGCACAAATTACAAATGATGGACTATATCTTTAAAGAAGCCATTTTTTGTGTGTTCAACCACCTTTCAAAACATTCCATGACCGATGGAGTTTTTAGTGAGCATGTGCCTCGCCAAGAAACTAATTCTCACCTTGCGATCCATTCGGCTGTGCCGTCAAACATTTCCGGCGTTGCCACATTGGTTATTCTGGCTGCTACAGCTGCACAGTAAGCACCCCTGCAACGAAAATCATCCAAATCAAAACTATCAATAGTATCCAAATCAAATCAAATCAATCAATATTATCCCAAATCAAATCAGTTGATATCATCCAAATCAATTCAAATCAATCAATATTATCCAAATCAAAAATCAAATCAGTCAATATTAGCCAAATCATATTAAGTAAAATTAACCTAATCAAATCAATCAATGTTATCCAAATCAAATCAAATCAAATCAAGGAATATTATCCAAATCAAATCAAATCAATCAACATTATCCAAATCAAATCGGTCAATATTATACAAAACAAATCAATCAATGTTATCCTAATCAAATCCACCAACATATCAAATCAGTCAATATTATACAAATCAAATCAATCAATGTTATCCTAATCAAATCCACCAACATATCAAATCAGTCGATAGTATCCAAATCAATTCAGTCAATATTATCCAAACCAAATCAAGTAATATTTTCAGAAAGCTTATTTTTTTAGTGACACTGATAGCCGGCAAATTTGGACCTAGCTTTAAAAAGACAGAAAAAATCATAATTTAAACAGTTCATTTTCAGAAAATTAAATGCTCTTTGCTGCATGTTTTGTTTTTGTTTCTTGCATCTATACTCATAGATATTTGTTTATATTTGATATTTGTTAAATACATGTATGTGAGGCGTTCTTGCAACATGAGACAGAAGTGGGCAGAGGTCGAATTGAGGGTTTGTTGGTATTAGGAAAGAGAATGAAATGCCTGTTGTCAAACAAGAGGTTGTGAACTGATCAACAAAACCACTGAAATTCACCCCAATAAAACAACTATACGGGTCAACTACTTTGCCACTTTGACCATGAAATTGACCTTAGAGCTTCACAAGTGGAGTACTGTCACCATGACAACAGCTACAACTAACTGAAAACTTTCCTGGGCCATAAGGGAAAAAAATTATGTGTCTTAAAGCCGTGTCCAGTTTTTTTTTGAATATTGGCACTGGTTAAATTGTAAGGTTAAATGTCTGTGAAACTGAATCATGCATGTTTCTTGTACATCTATGAGTTGGGTTTTAAATGAACAGAAAATGTCAACAAAACTATGATGGCATGAAAATATGAAACATGCCAACGATACTCATAAGTTGTAAGATTCAAGCTGATTCTAGGCTCAACTCATTATTGTGAGTCTATGATCACAACGTTTCGATAAAAGTCTTCATTTTTCTTCTGATTTCCTTCCCAAAATGTAACTATGCTTCCATTTTTTTGGGTGTCTACTCCACTAAACTACATTTTAATCCAATAAAAGTACATACAACCCTAAAACTAGACATTTTGGTTTCACAACTCCAGTAACAACTTTTTGAGTGATCATGGCCGATTGTCAATAGAAAACCATAAAAGAGCTAGACACCCATGAGTGACCCACAATAGAATTTAGGGGGAAGGTGCTCAAAAGTTCAGGCATTCTGGCACCCCAGGAGGGCTTAGTCGAAGCCCGCTGGTTCAGAACAAGGGAAAAAACAGCATTTATAGTCGCTCTACCGTGCAGTGATGTACCATGTACAGTACATGTAGCTATGCAACTCCCACAAAGGACAGTGGCTGCATTCAGAAGTGTTGAGCATTTAGTTGTTGTTTGTGTTGTTGGGAAGAAAAGATGTCTTCAAGAGTCCACAGAAGTGGCAAGAAGCGGCTGTTGGAAGCGTAAAGAGGTGTATGATGGGCTCTTAGAGCAGATTAGACACTTGTTGGAATTCCTGATAAGTTGCCAAGTGATAAATACTGCCTATCCAAACTGAGCACTGATCATCGGAGATTTTTTCCTCAAACAAGTGCATCTACTGCAGGACAACTCAACTACACGTCGTGAAACTTTTACTGTGGGACTCTTTGGAAGTTTTTGATAGTTTAACTTTTCCTGGATACCCAAAGTTGCTGTTGATGGTTATAAATTAAGAAAACATTGATGTATTTATAGCCACTGCAGTAGAATTTTTTGGGGGACAGTGAACAAGGATTTTGGAAAATAATGGTCAAGGTTTTATCAACTCGGGCAGCAATTTAAGGTAAGCATTTTGTGGTGTATGTGTGTTTCTTGTGCTTACTGTGATTGTGATATTAAGTAACTTTTGAAATACATATAATGGGTAATAACATATAAATGTAAAAATGTAAACAAGGTATAATTTGAAATTTGTTAATCATGTGAAAAAAAAAATTATTCATATCGAAATGGATCCGAGTTTAATTAACTACATGTGAAAATGCAAATATAGTTTATTTCTAACAAAGTTCAACAGTTCAGCTGTTACTTTTAACTGAAAAACTAATTAATGAGTAGAGCTGTGCACTCGAACTGGATACCCAAGTACCCGAGTGCTGACATGTCGTCTCTACTAGTCCAGTTGCTTTTTGTTTCTTCAAATTTTATTTTATATCAATGTACCTGCATCATGACTTCCATAGGCTGCATTAATTTGTTGATTATTTATTGCATGCTGGCTTGTCCTAGATTACTTACTATTCGGATGCACCACAAAAGTAATTTGTACCTTGCCACAAATGGACTCAGAAATGTTGTCCGAGTATAACTTTAGGATAAAGGTTTACGGTAGCATTGTTACAACTTTTTTTGTGCGTTTGTGAAGTTCTTAGAAGAACCTCACAAAGTTACAAAAAGAGATTTGTCATGGCGTTATCTGACTGCTATCTTCACCTTGCAAATCTTCAAGTCTTACATGTACATATGTAACTTTTGTCATCTTTTCAATCTTCCTTATAAACCATTTGTTACTATCTTAACATTTAAGAAGGGCATAAAGGACGCATGCGTTTCTCCGTCTAATAACAGCATTGCCTATACGAGGCTGGGGTTTTTTTTGGGGGGGGGGTAAAGAGTCTGTAGATTTTTTGGTACCAGTAGGCCGCATACATTCATCCGGAGATCACCAAAATTTTGGTTGTTTTGATTTTGTTAATAATAACCATATTTTAAATTTCTTGGTCGATAAAAATCCACATGCATGATGTCTCAAACCTGTGTTAAAAATCAGCTAGTTTTGCCCTGCCCATACATGTACTTGTACACATTTCAAGCCGTGATTAAAACTATCGATTTACTGATGGACTTTGGAAACCTGAATTCAGTGTCAGGAACCAGCAGGCATGGATGGGGTGGGGTGGGGTGGGGGGGGTCGAACCCCCCCCCCCCCCCCCCCCCCCCCCCCCCCCCCCCCCCCCCCGCTCTGACACCCCCAAAAAGTCATAACAAATAGTAGTTATAGTGATAATAAGAAAGATCATATTCTGCAGGGGTTAGTATCTGTATCTGATGGGCCTAAACCCCCCCCCCCCCCCCAACAAAACCACACAATATGTCAAATGAAAATGATGACAATCAAAACATGAAGTTGGTCTCATTCAGTCAGGCTGATCAGTTTTAGTCAGCATTACCTTACCAGCCCACCTCAGCATACATCATCAATAATTAGCAGGGATTTGACACATTCCAATATTGATTTCTCTTGTTGCTTGTACAAACACCCTTAGCTGTTACCCTCCTTACAATCAGTTCCAATGTACAGAGATTGGCGGCCCTTGGGTCGACGGATCGAGTGCTTATTGTGGGCCGAAATTATTGATTCCCCGCCGATAGAATTGTACTTTGAAGCCCAATCTTGCTGCAGTGTACACAGTATGCGTAACCTGTACCTTGCACGAGTGCAGTGCCAACAGTCGGGTCAGAAAATCATGCTGCCACTATGACCCTTGATGCTTAGTGTATCACTGGCATGTTAAAGTGACATGTTAGGCAGGTTGCAGCTGGCGTGACAAGTTCTTTTCTTCCTCCAGGGTTCATCCATATGGTAACACCTATACACTGTATATTCTAACGGAATAATTGAGCATACATGTACTGATTGCAGTGAGCAGTGAGCATAGCAGTGAGCAGTTTGACAAAAATTTGTTTTTCTATTTTTAAGTAACAAATGCCTTAACCACTATAGAATTATATTTAGGTTGTATTTTGACATATGTTTGTATTTTTGTAATGTGAACAAAATGATTGTGTAATTGACCCTCCTATGCAAACATACATTCTGTGCATTGTCCTTTCAGTCAAAATCAATCAAGTGACTGTTTCCAACAGTTAAGAGCTCCCAGCCTACATAAAGCAGGATTGACTGGCTGTGACTGTTTATAACTTGATACAGCTATGCTTTGACTGTGGGTGATTGATAAGCCAGCTGTGCCCACCACTTGCCTGTTTTTTTGTCCGTTGACTGAATTTGACTAGTCACAGTGCTTGCTTGAAATATGATCTGACTGCTGGTGACTAGCCTGTGTAAAAGGCATGGCAGGGGAAGAGGATTGATTTTTGACTGACTGTGACTGTTCAAATAGCAGAAGGGTTAATTACTGTACAGTGGGAACTGGTTTGGTAATTCACCGAGTTAGCCAGATGGATGTTAGGTTGCCCTGGGCAACTGAGCAAATGTGTCATCTTAACCCTAATATTTTCTGCAATTAAAATTATGTTCACATCTAATTATGGACCCAGTGCACGAACAGAAGATGACACTTTGTGAGCGAGCTCCGTGGCTGGGAAACAATGCACACTGATTTGCGCTTGTAGGGCACAAAGTCCCAAAAATGAACCTTGCTAAATGTGTCCAAGCTCGTATCATCTTTGTTGGAATGCCGGGCATATTACAATGGCAATTGATGTATTCCTTCCCCTCCTTACTCTATCTTTGTAACTGAGTGACAGAGTGCACCGAACATCTGAGAGAGAAATTCTAAAAGAATTATTTTTCTCCGTTCCAGGGTTCATAAAAAGGATTCCCCGATGGATGGCACAATGATATCTCTCTTCGGGGATTACAAGCACGGCAGGAGATTCAAGACAGAGCAATCACTCCGGGGTGGAATCCGCCAAGAGAATGCCGGCATCATGCCCACGCTGCTACCCAGAACTCTAGTGCGACATGAACATCGCAGGGGCAAGTCCTATCCCCAAGTTGAGATGTCCCGGCGACTGCGGTGCACGGCCACCCCGCCGCCATCCCTAGAATCTCAGTCCCTCCCAAAGATAAGCCTCCGAGGGAATGCCGCCCGACAACAGCGTCACCGCGGCAACCACTCATCCTCCAAAGGTAAACTGGGATTGGCCATCGGCATCCCAACCATCAAATGTCGCGCAACTCAGTCCCTGCCATCACTGTCCAACTCAAACTCCAGCGGCAAAAGCACTGGAAAGAGAACAAGGAAAGACCAGCAGAGGAGTTCGACCTTTGACCTCTTCCAGACATCAAGACAAGGTCGGCGAACGGCTGCACACAGCCAAAACTTCAGCTGGGACTTTAGCCCCCGGACTGAAGTTCCAAAGACTTGCATGGACATTGAGAACAATCGTCTTCCTAAACATGGCGAAAGGAAAGTGGAGACTTCTAGACCGGTACACTTGTACATGGGTGTTGAAATGATGGGTAAGAGATGGGTACCAGCTAACAATAAAAAAGTTGAGGTCACTCCAACTTTAAATAGACCTAAGACCTAATGACGTCACACTTTGTTTACATGTGCACTTTCCTATGAGAGTCAGGTGGGATGCAAAACCCACCTGGCTCTCATATGAATGGGCAAATAAAACAAAGCGTGACGTCATGAGGTTGTATGTCTATTGTACCAGTTCACCAAAAATAGACGGCAAAAAATCTGTAAATTTTGTCATTCATTATTTGCTTTCATACAGGTTTACCATACAGGGTGAGTAAAAAAAAAAAAACCCAAATGTCGGGACTATTGTTTTATCTAAGTTCTGCATGTAGTACTTTTAAAATCTCGGATTTGAAAGCCCAACTCATAAGCTTTTTTTTAGTACAAGAATCGTTCAAATCACTTATGTACTTTTCAAGTTACGGAATTTTAAACACAACCACCGTTTTAAAGTTCTGTCCACAGATTACAAAAAAGGTTTGCGTTCTTTCAGCAAAACGAAAACAATTCACACACATCCCTATGTGATTTGTTTTCATTTTGCTGAAAGAACACTGAACTTTTTTGTGATCCGTGGACAGAACCTTAAAACGGTGGTTGTGTTAAAAATTCTGTAACTTGAAAAGTACATGAGTGATTTGAATGATTTTTGTACTAAAAGAAAGCTTACGAATGGGGCTTTCGTATACTAGATTTTGAAAGTGCTACATGCAGAACTTCACTAAAACAATGGTCCCGACATTTGGGTTTCGGGGGGTTTTTTTCCACTCTGTATACATGTACAATTGTACATGTACATGGCCACACATTACTTGTATGAACTTCAATCCCCGCAAAAGCTTTCATGGTAACAATACAAAATACATATGTATACAATGAGAAGTATGTATGTTACATACTTCTTTTACTTACTTACATACATCTCTATTTGGATTTATAAAAAAAAAAACACTTGTTTCACTTTTCAGGAATTTAAATGGTTGGCAAACAAAAACTGTACAAGTACTTCAGTCTCTTTTGGTCTCTTTCATAACCAAAGGTTTTTTTTATGTTAATAACAGACAAACTCCTTGAAAAGAGGAAGGGGCTCCGATCAGATGAGATGCTAAATGAACTTATTGGACTACCTCCCACCAAAATGTCGGTATCTACAAGTCGTGATAAGAAAAGACCAAAGAGAGATGACATTCAAAAACATGAGACAGTTAAAGATAGAGAGAGCCAGGATGCACGGCAACATCCGAGGGATGTAGACGATCATCAGAATGCATCAAACTGCAAGGAGGTAACAACCAAGGAAAGTCCTGGCGTTGAGACACATGTCAAGACAACTCCTCAGAAACAGCCACATGATGGAGACCAATGTACATGTAGCAACAAGATGGAGACAAAAACAGGGACTGCATCTGGGAAACTGGTGGGGGAGGAGGATCACCCTGGCAACGAGATGGAGGGGGAGTTCCAGGATGAGGAGGAAGAGGAATTGGGAGGAATTGACGATGACGAAGGAAGCAATGTGTTTGATGGATGCGAAGATGATAATGAGGAAGATGATGGTGAAGAAATCGAGGAAGACGATGGTGAAGAAATCGGGGATGATGATGTTGATAGTGATGATGAAGGGAGAGGAACGAGCCAAGATGGGGATGAAGAGGATGGAGAGCAAGAAGAGGAGTTTGAAGATGCGGAGGACTTAGAGGATGGGGAGGCACAGGGGGACAGTGAGGCTGAAGAAGTTGAAGAAGAGGAATTTGAGGAAGTTGGGAATGATGAAGATGATGATGATGATGGAGAGGAGGCTGAGAGGCAAGATAAGGATGAAGATGATGATTACGATGCTGCAGATGATGATGAGCTGGGGGAGGGACAAGGAGGGGATGGGGATGATGATGATGATGATACTGATAATGATGAGGATAATGAAAATGATGATGAAGAAGATGGGAGGACGGTGGGAGAGGGTGAGAAGGAGGAAGAACTGGATGAGCTAGAAAACAATGATGATGAAGATGACGACATGTCTGATGGTGAAGATGATGACCAATGAATAAAACCTTCATATTTACATGTACATAGAGCTGTGTAGCAAGTCTTTTAATCAAGTCACATAATTTAATCACAAGTAAAGTCACAGGTTATTGGAGATTATGACAATTTTTCTTGTGACAAGACTCAAGACTGCAGAACTTGTGATGAACTTGTCTGTTTGTTGGCTTTTGAGGATTTTACTACAACTCTGCTTTTATGCAGTTGCATTATGTTATATTATATTTCTGAAATATTTTAACATTTATAAATATGATTATCTATATTTTGCATATGTATGTTCAGACAGCTAGTAATATTATGAAAAGTACAATTCTCAAAAGCAGCAGAGTTACTCAACATGTAAAGTACATAAAATTTCAACGGTCACTGTTGGTTGTACTCAGAGTATTCGTTTGCCAAGCAAACAATTTGCATATTAACATGAGGATGATGTTAAATTCAATACATTGGTAAAATCCTCGCCTCTTTTTTCTTTAAAACCAAATTTCAAAAACAAAAGAATCTAAATTTACATGAAAATAGATGTCTTGATGGCTGAATACATGTAGAAAACGGTTAAAAATGTTTTTTTAAAAGCCACCTCATCTGATTTCTGAGGCAGCAACAAAAAACTGCTGGCTGTTCAGATTAGAATTCATACTCGTCGCGAAAGCAAACGGGATTGCAATTTGTGCCGTCACGGCAAGTGTTTGCGTCGTGAATTCGCAATTTCATTTCAACTCCAGGGAATTTTTCAACAACTGTTTCACGACGTCAAATGAGTATGTAAGTGTAAAGCGATGTTCTGGGATTTCAATGCAAAAGCTCTTCATCTGAAACAGACTCCTGTTCACGCAGACTATAGTGGTCACTAAAAAATGTTCTATAACAAGTGGTTTGGCTTTAAACTACAGTTATGTACATGTAGATCAAAAAGGTTTATCATCACATTTTCCAAGTGTTGTGCATATATATTTCCAATTTGGACTGAGATTTCAACCAGGAATAAAGACTGCAGTGGACCAGTTGTGCATTCAGATCAATTTGACCCCATTTATATTTGACCCCGATTAGACTTGACCCCAATAAGATTGGACCCCATTCAGATTTCACCCAATTAGAGTTGGCTGCTAGAAGTGAGGTCGCCATCAGCCATATTAACACTCCAAGAACAATAGATTTGTAAGGAAAGATATTTAATTTAATTTACAATTTTTACTCAACAAATTATTACGTTTTGTTTTCAAAAAAATTAAAATGGCAACAAAATATATTTTATATAAAATTTCTGTTTACAAAAAAAAGAAGCAGTTTTGTATACAGTCGAGTCTCGTTAATACAAACTCGTTCGGACCTAGCCAGATTGTTTGTTATAACAGAATTTTGTATTAAGAGGAACATCAGTCCCATTCATTGTGCACATAAATGCACAGTCGGGACTAAGGCTTTGTGTTTGTTACAACCAGAATTTTGTATTAACAGAGTTTGTACTAACAAGATTCGACTTTCAGCCTCAGGGTACTCTGTTTTCATTATTTTGAACAATGGGAGTAGTTGAGGCTGGTTCCCTCCCTACATTCGAATGGAGGGATCGGAAACCAGTGCGTAGCTTCACTTTTCTGTGCAGCTCGGAATGGATGACTGAGCTATCCAGATTCTTTAAATGGAGATCGATGGGTGTAAAACATATACAGTGTACGTACATGTGCATGTGCACATGTACATGCATAACGATTTTTCCTTCGATGGCAAAAAAACAAGCACCCCTCCACAAGTAAATTCTGAGTGTGAACCTGTATGCAATATTCGAGTGAAGACTTACCTCACGTCAACCTCGCCACCATCATGCATGCGAAAAGCCCCCTCTGGTGAGCGCATTCTCATCAGAAAAGACTGTAACTTGGGTCTGCAACAAAGTATTTACAAACATAGATGCATGTTAACCACTTTGCACCGGGATTATTTTGCCAAAAATTTCGATTTTCGCAAAAGGCACAATTTTCCAGCCAACTTCTGATATACAGCCAAACGCCACAAATACTGATTCGCAAGAGTCAATTCAACAGTATTTGTACGATATTTCTTGCCAAAACCTCATATGTTTCAATACTCCGAGGTGTGCACTGGAGCCTAAATTGTACAACAATAGGGCCGTGCACAACAGCAAATTCAAGATCAACACACGGTCGGCCTCCACAGACTTCCCGACTTTGTGTGTGTGTACTAAAGGCACAAGGGATTAGCGTGTTTAGACATCACCCGGAGGCGAGTCAAGGCAATCTTGACGTTTTAACCAGTCAGCCTTGCCTGTGTATAAAAACAGCCAGTGCGTGCTATCACATCCTCTGACGCAAACTGGTTAATGACATTACAGCACATGCAGTAGTGGGTCCCCAGATTTGCAACTGGTCTGTGCTCTCACCTGTCGATAACCTGATAGGCTTCTTGGGTGCCTACTGTCATCAAGGCCAGGACCGCAGCGTATGTGGGAGCCAAGTGGGCAAACTGGTGTGGACCTCCTAGAAAATAAGAAGTTAGATACGCAAAAATTCAACTCAATTCTGGCATCTGATTATCAGTGTCTGTTACCTGTACAGGCTATTCCAAATATTAAGCATCTGATTCTGCTAAATGCATGAGCTGAATTTCCAAAAAAATTCATATATAAAAACTTATTAAGTACGGTCTTGCTTAAGCCAATATATATTAGAAGCTGGGTTCGACTTTGGCGGTAGCCCGCTAGCCAAACTATTACTTAAGTAGCCCGGCTGGCGAGTCAAAAATTATTGGGCTATGGCAAAGATGGAAGGACAGGAAGAAAAAAATCATTACATGTAAATTCAGAAAGCAAACCTGATCAATTTGTGTCTAATATTATTAACTGTTTAGGGTTAAATTATTAGATCTGTTTTTCAAAAACACTGACAAGATTGCCTCAGGACACACGTTTTAGATGTATGCACATTGTTGTTTATGAGACACTCTATAATTTATAAAAGAAAAACATGCGGGCTAGTGAAAATGCCCGCGGGCTAGTTAAGAGTCCGTTTCAGTAGCCTGGCTGGCTAGCGAAAAACAAGTGCGATTGCATGAAATGATACAATTACTCACTTCAAGGTCGTAATTGACAATTGACAGCCCCTACCCTAATTTTTTTATGGGAAAAAATGAGAACACAACACCCAAAACCATCAATTACTACCTTGTACCCTTGACTACACGCAGACGCCTCCATATGATCGTACACAAACAAAATTGCCAAAAAACAAACTCCCTGCCTACCTACCCTATTTTCGAATGCCATGTAATCGGAAGCAGAACTATCTTTTTTTGGCCTCACCCCTATAGGCCATGGAGACTCGTAAACCTGACACAGGGCCAGAGGCAGGGGTAATGTATAGTTACAGGTGTGTAGAAGTCCCTAAGTTCCTAGCGCATTACATACCACGTGACTGTTACATTTACCACATTTTCTTGCCTCCATGCACACAATATTCATAAAGAACTCCACGAATTGTTACAAACAATTGTCAAATATTTAATGTATTTTGTTTGAATTTTTTGGTGGACAGTTACAATTTGGTACTGACAGTTTTATGGGTCACTTAGGGGGCCAATTTTTGGTCAATTATTTTGGGGAACCGATCAACCGACACCCGAGTGACTTATAGAAGCTCTGTTGCCAGAGCTTAAAAAGTTAAGGTCAAACCCTGATTAAACTCATCAGGCTGTGTTTATTTCCAGTTTGCTTGGCAATAAATGACCAAGAATGGTTTCTTTTACGCTTGAAACTTGATTGCAGGTTTCTACCCAGTTAATGCAATACCCATTTATACTCCTGGGTTGAAAGAGGTAAGGCAAGGTAAAGTGGCTTGCCCAAGGACACAACACATCCCCGGGACTTGGATTTGAGCTACCGACCCTCTGATCAAGCCACAGACCCTAACCACCAGGCCACACTACTCCTCGACAACTTTGCTAACAAGAAAGACAATAAAGAAAAATCTGCGAGTTAATCACTGTGAGCATTCATGTATCTCTTACCCCCAAATCCACCTTCAGGATGCTGGCATCTGGCTAAAAATGTCACCACCCTGGACAAAAAAAGAGAAGAAAATATAATAATCCTGACAAAAAAAGTTGACTTGTGTGTGAGTGAAGAGATTGGGATGATCAAATCACAATCTTTACTACTGAGGACAATGTTTTCATTACACCACTAGCAACAAAAATGAAAGAACTGGATCCTTTTTTGTTCCTGAGCAGGATTCTTTACTCCAATTACGTGCTTGCATGTGCATGAGGTTTAATATTACGATGTTTGTAACACTGTGAAAATGCTACAGCCACTGAGTTGTTCTCAAGTTTCATTTTGAAGGTTTGTTTCAAACGGTTAGTGGTTTCTTCACCATTACGAGATGCATTGTCCACAAAATTGAATTATGGTGACTGAAATAGTCTACCTGTTGTCTGCAAGTTTTAAATATCTCTCAGAGTGTTCATATTATTATGCCAATTACACCACTTCCAATTAAGAATGTGACTTTACGTTAAATTTTGTAAACGTTTAGAAAATATTTTCAGAATCGTTTAAACGTTTAGCTATTCACAAAGGCTGACACATGTTCATTATGTCCGCAGACCGGTGTGATTGACATTATAAACCAACAATGGCAATCATTGAAAACGTAAAAACTTTACTACGTGGGCCCCGAATGTAATCAAGTGTTGAAGTGCTTGGAAGGTTTAAATAGGTTTGAAAACATTGTTCATTATTTGTGCTATGTAGATTTAACTCAAAGGAAGACTGTGTGACTGTAGGTCCCTTTTTATAATTTGCTTTTCGTTTAAACGTTTGTGGAAAATTTGTAAACGGATTTAGAAATGTTTACGTTTAAACTTTTAAACGTATAAACGTCACATCCTTACTACCGGGAAAACCCAGCATGACTTTACCCCGAGCTGGCCTCTGGCAGGACTGGCTGATCCAACAGGTGAAGACTGTGCAGAATCCAGTAGCAGATCCATGGTCTGGAGGCATCCAAGCATTCATAGGACTCGGACAGTGCCACCAGGCCTTTCAACAGGAAGTTGATGTGGCGTTTCCGATGCAACCTGGGCCTAGCCAAAGAAATGATCAAAATATTAGAATCAAAATTCAAATAATGTCAACTATGCTTTGACTTGCTCTTTGATAAATGCCATGGTCCAGTGGTTACGGTGTTTGACTCCTGTACGAAAGTGCGTGGGTTCGAACCCTGCCAGAAACATGGTGTTTGTGCCCTTGGGCAAGACACTGAACTACAATTGCCTCTCTCCACCTGTGAGGGTAGAGGACCGAATATGCACTGATATATCGGCTGCCGCGTGGTCTCGTGGTCTGATGAACAGGGGAATAATTGTAAAGCGCTTTGAGATTGTTGATACGATGGAAAATGCTATGTACGCTCTTCAATTTTTTATAAACTATAGCCTACGATTGACTATGTATAGGGTAAAATAATCAATAAAAAAAATCAATTTTAGATTGGGAATAGACGCAGAGAGAGACAGAAAATGGGACGTCTGTTGGAGGTTTGAGATGGGAGGGGGGTGTATGGAGATTAAAATTCTTCCTTCTGCAAAAGATAGTCTGGTTCCAAGAGATAAAGATCCTGACGTTGAATATTGTCAGGTCAGGGAATTAAACAGTTGACTGCTGTGACGATAGCCACTGCGTTTGATTAAATAGGCCTACATCAAAATGAAATAAAGGAAGGAAACATTAATCGGCCAGCTTACTTTGTCTTATCTGGATGGTCATCGTCTCTAGACAACAGGAACGTCTCAAACATTTCAGCCACAGATTCTTCCACATTAATCTGCATGGAAACATGTTTATAAATTTTACTTGAGTTGCATAAACAAACACACAGCTACAATGCTTAAAACAAGCGTCTATCCTATCCAGCTACCAAACCACTTCATTTGGTTCACAAATCTAAAACCTCGCATGGATTCGGCTTCGATGGAAAGAGTGAAATATTCTTCTCACTCCCAACCCCTAAATTTGCATCTTTAGTATTAGGCCAAGTAAACAACAACAAAAATTAATATTTAGTTTTTCTTTCGTTTTCGTTATTATCTTTGTGCATTTTTTTTTTCATCTTGCATCAGCTTGGTTTATGACTTGCATTGGTTTTATTAGTCTTTTGTCTGTGTGTCCAATTGTGTCTGTCATTTTGTTCTTGTGATTATGTTGTATAGTCTGTCCAGGCTGTTCCACCTACAAGACTTGGCTTATGTGAACAGCCGTGTACTCTCCTATAATACTCTTTTCTTAATTTCATTTTCTATTAATCTTCATTTAAATAATTAGATTCAAAGCATTATTGTGTTTCTGGTGGTAATTACCTTCATATTTTTTTCCCATTCATTTAAATATCACTGTATTATATTATCCAACTTTGTATTGGTTTATTGGCGAAAGTGTCAACTGAATTGAATTTATGATCATATTCTCATTTTGAGTTGATCCTTTGTTGTACAATAAAACTCCTGTCCCTGGTCATGCGGGGGAGTGTTTCAGCCTACTTGTACAATGATAAGTTAAATGAAAATGGAAAATATCGGACCTAAAAATGAAAACCTCTGGTTATTAAGTCAGGCAGTCTTTCCAGCTCTATACTGGTGAATCTCCATGAGCCTAGCCCTAGTGAGCTGAATATTTCCAGCATGGAGGTAGGAAACATGTTTCGGGAATAATGTTGCAACCTGACGCGCGCCACTTCAGGGGTTGTGTACAAAGTCTATGGAGAGTCAAGAAAATTTTCGAAGTATTTCCTCAAAAATTGTAAATGTTTCTCAGTCCCAGATTCATGTCTTATCATCATTTTTGCAATGACTGACCTTCATTGAGATGATATATGAAGAAAAAAAGTGCGTCAGGTAGCAACATTGTTTCCCAAAATCCACTTTTTAAATTATTTGACCTACCAAACTAGTTGGCGACATTAACACAAAATGCAACCACGAAAATTAAGATGGCAATCACCGTGCGACGTACCATGAACGCGCAAGGTGCGCTGAATCGCACGGCCCCAACCGTAAAGTAAACCGCATAGGAAAATCATAATTTCTACCCCAAGAAACTGTTCAAAATTACAAAAAAGGGGCACAATTGCAGAATACCCCGCCACTCGATCTATCCACCTCGTAGCCGGCTACGAGGTCACGGTTGGTTGACCTCAATAAACATTCTCAGCGCTACTTGTATGTACTATGCGTCATGCTCCATTGCACTCCCACTTTGTAACTGCGTAGCCGCCAACAGGGTAGTTGATTTGGACTTAGAATTTTTTCAGCAACTCCCATTCCTTTTGTGTTGCTTCGTTCTCAAGCATATTCAAGGGGACTCCCACTCCGTATCCGCGTAGCCGCCAACAGGGTGGTTGGTTTGGACTTAGAATTTTTTTCAGCAACTCCCATTCCTTTTGTGTTGCTTGGTTCTCAAATAATGGACCCCCACTCAGTATCCGCGTAGCTGGCATGGACTTGAATTGTTTCTTTTCCAGTGATTCCAACCTCGTGATTCCAGCCAGAGAGAATTTAGGGGTGTATTTCCGAGTGGCGGGGTATTCTGCAATTACTCCAAAAAAGGGTATCACTAGAATTGAAAGAAGTCTGCTCTAGGTGGAAAAAGGTCATTTTTGGGTAATAAAAAACACCCTTGACACTAATTGGATCGAAACTAAACAGGGGTCCTACACTACACGATCGCCAAAAGGGTTGAGCACGTTGAGTTGTTTTTCGCCTGCTGCACCAAGTCCAAGTTCAAGGCTGCAGTCACTTTGCAAACTCCCCGCTCTCGTTTGCTGTGAAACAGTAACCCCTCAACACTCAAATCTATCGACATTATCCCCCTATTTCAGTCTGATACTCAGTGCTTTACCTGCTCATCTGAAGAATGCGTACGGACTCCATCATCGAGAAATCTCTGATACTCCAAAACCTCCGGATCCGCAACACACCTGGGGGACGCCATCTTGTTTCTTGACAGCCTGCACACTTGACAGACGTAGAGGGCGCTGTACGCGTACACTCTCGCCAGCGCTCCCAGTTTTGCAAGGACCCACATGTGCTCCTTGCAATTGAAAAACCTAAGCAGTTGCAATATATAAGCTTAATTACTGTGCATGTTTTCCCTCCATTTCTTGATGAAAACGTAAAATAAAACAAAGACAAATGCCCCATAAAGCCATGGACATCCAGATTTCCACCCTAATAACATTTATTTTACACATTTCATAATTATTTGCAAAAGGTTACAGATGCCAAAAATGGAATCAAAGTGGTTATTAATTATTATGAGCAAATATGGAATTTATTAAAGGTACAGAATAGAAATATCTCGTGAAATATTTTGCCAATATGGGATTCATTTGGGGATTATTCAGCAGTTTAAACTTTGTAAAAACTTCAAGTTCAACAGATACAACTCATATTTCTTCTAATTTAGATAATGTGGTTTATTTTCAAAATATCAAACATAACAAAAGAACAAAGGAAAAGTAAAAGCTAACAAGAGGATGAGGACGACATTAGCCTGAATTTGAATCCATTCCACATTATAAGCATTATTGCATAAAACAAATGACACAATACTAAATTAAATGACAAAATTGGGGAAAAAAATATGAGATGGAGAAAAAATCATACCTTAAGCCTTAAGCATTTAACTGAGTTACCATTGATTAAAATCAAAACAAAAAACATTCCTTCTCAGGAAAGGAATATAGTTTTTCCTAGCTTTGAAAAAAAACAAGCAGAACAATTTTTCCATTTACTTTCGAATGCCAATCGTGTTCAGAGGGTTAGTCCCAATTTTCAAAAACTGATAACATAAATGAATAAATTCATTCCGTTAAATAAATTTATTCCGACAACGTACAGCTCTGATTGCAAAAATGTTAGTGTGTCATTTTAACAAACGTTTTGTTATACGTGTTAAATAGGGCTGTCCCGAATCTACCTAATACTCAAATATTCGATCATCAACCGAAAATTCAAATAGCTTTTAGCCGGTTTGAATATTCGAAAACTAAAAACTACACAAATACACACACAACTGTGATGTTATTTTATCGTAAAGTTTCAGCGCTTTTTGACAGGCGCCACTTTTTTGTCAATGGCAACTGTTTCTGGTCGGCGGCATTTCATCGTTCACATCCTGTTGGGAGGTTAAAGCCCTTTAAAGATATAAAACACTTACTGCAAAACACTCATATCGCCCCATATCGATTGCCGCAGGCAACTTTTAACTGGCGCGCTCTTCATGTAAATGTTTATAGACGCAGCACGCAAGTTACAGCTGGCAGTTTCGAATATCTGAATATTTGGTCAAACGCAGTTTCAAGTAATCGAATACTAAATTATTCAAAATTGACAGCCCCAGTGTTAAAATAAGCCACATTCCTGAGCGAATGGCGGAGTTTTACACCATTTCGGGGTCTATAAACAGGCATGACTCCTTATGTGAGTTCACACATTACTATACAGTTCAAAAACAAAAATTTAACAATTTTAAATTTTTAGCTTGAAGTCAAGTTACTTAACTGCTTCACAAAACAGGATATTTCTAATGCTTGTACACAGAAAACACATCAAAAAAACCCATTGGCTCAAAAATATGGTTCATTGAACATTTTCGCCCAATGCCACGGCATCTTCTATAAGTTTTGGTGTCCTTTAGAACAGCGGTAGCTTGACTGCAGAAATGTTTTTAAATTCATGGTACATTAAGTAACAAAAATTACATATTTGTACAAACAAATGAAAATTTCTCCAGGTGAATCCATGCTGTAAACTTCATAAAATATTTACTGAATAAACGTTTCTCTAGCTCAGATCTAAATATGGCAATTGTAAACCAACTTGTACATTTATATATGTACACTGCAACTCAATTTAGTGGAGCCCAACGAAAGTCTGATGTGATGCAGGTAGCCATTTTGTCCGACAGTCTGAGTATAACAATCCACTGAGATCCAGATCCAGAAGACAAATCGGAAGTTAACGGCAAGTCAAAACATGTGTAAGGTCACATGTACTACAGGATAAACAATGACAATGACATGTCTCTGCCACAATTCAAAAGAAATGCTTATCAATTAACTTAATATGGGATTGCTCGAGATTAATTTATGATTGTCTTGTAAGGACTGGGGCTCTCAAGTCTACAAGTACAGTGAGCAGAGTGCCATACCAAACTTGGTGTATGTATTTCAGTAGGAACTACCTAAATTGTGAAAAACAGATGTTCCTTTCTCAGGATTCGACGATTTGATGTTTACAGCATGGATTCACCTTGTTAGCGTCATTCAACATCTTCTGGGTAGACAGGGTCCTTCAGCGGTACGACCGATTTCTTATCCTTGTCTCGACTCAGTGCTTTGCGCATGTCTGCAATGAAAACAAAAGCAAGATGTCAAATAAACAGAATATGTGGAGACATTTTGGGATTTTCTTAACATGTGCAGGAGAGTCCTGGGCAAGTGGTGGAACTACAAAGGAGAAAAATGACAATTGCAAGTGTTTATTGTAAAGGGTGAGTAAAAAAAAAAAAAAAACAAACAAATGGCAGGACCATTTTCTTAATAAAGTTCTGCATGTAGCACTTTCAAAATCTAGGATATAAAAGCCCAATTAATAAACAAGCTTTCATTTAGTACAAGACTCATTCAAATCACTCATGTACTTTTCAAGTTACAGAATTTTAAACACAACCACCGTTTTTAAGTTCTGTCCACAAATCACAAAAAAAGTGTGTTCTTTCAGCAAAATGAAAACAATTGACACGCATCCCTATGTGAATTGTTTTCGTTTTGCTGAAAGCACAATTACCTTTTTGTGATCCGTGGACAGATTTTAAAACGGTGGTTGTGTTCAAAAGTCCGTAACTTGAAAAGTACATCAGTGATTTGAATGAGTCATGTCCTAAAAGAAAGCATATTTATTGGGCTTTCATATCCTAGATTTTGATAATGTTACATGCAGAACTTCATTAAAAAATTGGTCCAGCCATTTGGGTTTTCTTTTTTTGACTCACCCTGTAAGTTTTCATACGGAGTAACAACACTGAAGTAGCTTTTAGTACAATCTCATTCAAATCTCATTCATACGGAATAACAACACTGAAGTAGCATAAGTCACAAGTAGTTCTAAACCAGTCCGATTGCCTTTCAATTGTTTTTTTGAGATATTTTAGTGTTGAGAGTGGAATTCACAGGAGAGGGTAAGAGAAGTGTTCCCTGGTTTACAGGGGACGTATTAAGCCGTGAACCCCAAACACGGCGGCCAGCAACAACCAGAGGGACTCTCCCCATAACTTCACAAAAGGAATCAAGGTAACACAGCCAGATGCCTTTATTTTTTTACCAAATGCATCTTCGTCTGGGTCTCCCGAGTAGTACTCGATGACTCTACGGTACACGGTGTAGCCCAGGCGCTTGTACATCGTGACAGCAACCTCGTTGGACACGCGGACAAACAGGTCTACAAAGAAACATGACTGCCTGTGGAGGCAATGCAAAATATTTAAGAATGCAGCAGATGTACCATGATAAACCATCCAGTTCAAATTGGAGCTTTTCTTTTGCTAAAACACAGTACATCCCGTCATTTATGAGATTGACTTGCTTATATTTCCAGAGTACATTCAATTGCATATATGTGACCTGTTCTGTCAAAAGCAGACGCTTCTGGGCAGAGGTTGAAATCAAGATAGGGCCAAAAAATGCTGTGGGGGTGATCTTTTTTTGGATTTTCTAATTCTTGCATATTTGTTATCCTGCACATGTCTAAAATATACAATAAAAGTTTGAAACCCTAACTGAACTCTAAATATAGTATTTTTGATGATTGGCTTAGGTATATCAGTTAAAGAAATTACTGTTTTGTGACGTTCGTGGCCATTTTCTCCGTTTTCTACTTTTCGACACAATGAACTTCAAAATAGCATAACTCTGCCTAGGAATGACCGGTTTCAAAACTTAAGCCACCTATCAAAAGGCAAAAGAACTTTTTTTAACAACATGCAAAAATCTCATTTTTGACTTTATGCCCAGAAAAGTCTGATTTTGACAGAACAGGTCACATATTATCTAGACCAAACACTATCCAAAGAATTGAAGAAAAAATTACTTGTTAGCCTATCACGAGTATGTTATTCAAATTTTAACCATTCAAATGACACCAATTTCTGTTATACCTAACTGATACTTAATTTATTCTTGGTAATTTCAAGTCATTGTTCAATCTACGCCCATCAAAATTGGCAAGTTGCTAATAGAACAAGACAAAAGTTTTGAAAACAATCAAAATGAATTACTTTTCAGACACTTCCTCCAGGAAGTTCATCATCTTGGCGGCCAGACCCAGGCGACGATACTCGGGGGCGACCGTCACGGCGGTCACATGACCATGCCATGTCTCCTGGGGTATTGAGCCCTCTGATTTACCCATAACTGCAAACAAAAGTGGATTGGAGCGAAACGTCAATGTGGATGTTTGATCAAAAATAAAGAAAAAAAGCTATTCGTGCAGGATATGATGTGATGACATTCTATTGCAAAACCAGCAGCCGATTTCACGAAAAAGTGTGGCAAAAAAAAGACTTACGCAACAAATTTGTTGCGCAGCTGCGCAATAAACTTACGATCGATTTCACGAAATTTGGCGTAGCTGCGCAACGTTTTAAATAATTTAAACATCTTGGACGAGGATAAAAACATCATTTATGACGGCTGTTTGTGTGTGAATTTGCTGGTTCGCGAAAAACAGTCGTTGGATCTCCTCAACCCGCCATTTTGAAAATTATTTTGTCCGACTATATTTTGTCGGCAACTCTAAAAATTACGTTGCGAGTAAAATAGAAATTAATTTACTTCAAACATAAAGTTGCGAGTGTCTTGTATCAACCTTGCTAAGTTGTGCAATAACAGGCTCCATGACAGTCCTGATTTGCTGGTAATATATGTCTTTTTCTGTCGCTACGACACAACTTACGCCACCTAAAATGATCGCGCAAGTTACGCCATAATTTATTGCGCAAGTCGCGGACTTACGCACTATCCAACTTTCGTGATATGAGTCATAAGTGAAATGTTGCGCAACTTACGCAATAAATTTTTTGTGAAAGATTTTGTGAAGTCGGCTGCTAGCTGGACCAGTGGTGGAAATCAATTTCGACCAGCAAAAAGGGTTGGCAGAAAAGTTGTGCTATCCATAGACCAATCCGGTAATGCTGTCATTTCTATCACCGTTGCCCCCTTCAATGGCGAAAGCATTGTGCTACCCATTGTTCAGATAATCCGTACGGGGCAGTTGCTTTGTACAATAGCGCGCACAGTGGTTTCTCCATTGAAGGGGGCCTCATGAGTGTACGTTGATAACATGCCCAGAAATTTTGCCAATTCTATTTAACTCTAACTCCGTAGACATTTTTGCTAGGATGTAACCTCAATCCTGCAAAATACTCATACTGCCTCCATGTAAAATTGCATACAGCCTCAATTCTCCAAAATCATCTGTTATTTCTTGAATGTGGTCCTTGGAGGGGTGACCACTGCCTCAATTCTGCAAAATCCTCCAGCAATCACTGTCAATATGTTGAGGCAGAGCCAGTGACATCCTGGGGCAGTGCGGAGGATTTCAAGTATAATCTAGGTCTATATTTATGCACGGCTGAGCATAAACAACACAAGGTCCGGCCCAAGTCCTTGACACAGCGCATCCTCCAAAATCAGCCACACGTTTTTGCCATATTGCCTCAACACCTGTAAAATCCTTCATTTTGCAAAGAGGATTTTGGAGGATTTGGGGAGGATTTGGGAAGGTAAGGGTTAGGCCAAAAAAAGTCTCCGGTTTCTGGTATGCGCGCGTGTCGCCGTAGCCATGCGCGTCGGCAAAATGAAAAAGTTTTTTTTTTCGATACAAGATGATGTCTCAAAACCGCCAAACTCGCTGGTTTGACTGGAATCCTGCTGCTGCACAATTTTAACGTGTTTTTAGATGGGGTTATGATCGAGAATAAGCTTTATGTGGCCTCTCTGGACTCCCATATATTTGCACTAAGTTTAGTCGGGCACCATTTGCAGTCATCAGCCGACATTTGAAGCCAAAAAAAAAAAAAAAACAGGTAAAAAAAAAAAAAAAGCCGCGTCGCCGCACCACTTTTGGGGCAAGCTCCATACCAGAAACCGGAGACTTTTTTTTTTTGGCCTTAGTGTACAACCCTAATAAGTGTTGCCCAGTTGTACTAGACTTATCACTCACTGTATCCCATGATCTTTCCCGATGCAGACTCACACACTTGGAAGTACTCAGGCCAGTGGGCCAGATACTGTAGATAGAAGGCAACTCCATACTGGTTCATCTGTGTCAAGGATACATACTGAAGAAACACTGACACTGCGGTGGGATTGGTGGGGATTAGGGGTTACACGATCAAGAGTGATTGTAAGACAAGTCAGTCTCACATTTTGGAGTGATTCAGAACAGCAGCTGAGTAGATTTTGAATAGGTAGTGAAATCAGATATCACATATTAATTGCACCGTAAGTAAGTAAAGTCTGTCATGAGCCATAATGGCCCGTCAGGCCGGCATTTATCTCCGGTTTCCCTGCCACGCAACGACTGAAAATATTTTGATTCCCCCTGGATGGGATGCCAGTCCATTGCAGGTTACTCCCCAGCTAATGCCGGTACCCCTTTATACTCCTGGGTAGAGAGAGGCAAGTTGGGATGAAGTGGCTCGCCCAAGGACACAACATATTATGGCTTGTTGCAGTAATCGAACCCCTGACCCTCTGATTATGTATCACAAACCGCAACCACTAGGTCAAACGCCCCCTGCTTGCTCCCCTGGGTAGAGGGAGGTGAGGGTAAAGTGGCTTGCCTAAGGACACAACATAATGACTTGTGGCAGTATTCGAACCCCTGACCCTCTGATTATGTATCACAAACGGTAACCACTAGGTCAAACGCCCCCTGCTTGCTCCCCTGGGTAGAGGGAGGTGAGGGTAAAGTGTCTTGCCCAAGGACACAACATAATGGCTTGTGGTAGTATTCGAACCCCTGACCCTCTGATTATGTATCACAAACGGTAACCACTAGGTCAAACGCCCCCTGCTTGCTCCCCTGGGTAGAGGGAGGTGAGGGTAAAGTGTCTTGCCCAAGGACACAACATAATGGCTTGTGGTAGTATTCGAACCCCTGACCCTCTGATTATGTATCACAAACCGTAACCACTACAGTAGGTCATACGCCCCCTGCTTGCTCCCTTGGGTAGAGGGAGGTAAGTGAGGGTAAAGTGGCTTGCCCAAGGACACAACGTATGGCCAGTAGCTGGATTTGAACCCCTGACCCTCTGATCACGAGGCACAAAACCTAACCACTAGGCCACACTCCCCCATTACTACAGCGCTACCCATTAATTTGTAATCACATTCAAAGAGTCATAATTATGATAAGGTCAATATTTTTTGGGTTGAATTACTGGAAGAATGAATGCGTCAGTTTGGCTTTGCAGTTGCTGAACCTTCTGAAGTTCTGACACCTAATATTGGATTCCATTATTTGCCACTTATCAGTTAGCTTTGAAGAAACACTTTCGTTTCTCACAGTCATTAATGAAATGTACTAGAAGTTTACATAAAAGTAGATTTGCATTTTCATTCAAAGGATACTGTCTCAGTAAGAGGATCGAGATTTCTGCAGAGAAAAGAATTACAATGAAATTAAAAATGGTCAATAATCAATAATGACACATGAATCAGTAACTACTATTAATCAGTAACTACTATGAATCAGTTACTACATACGCACACGAAAATCGTCTGTTGATAGCAGCCATTTTGAATGTAAGAAGCAATGACCCCAAAGCTGTGACGTCGCGCTTATGCAAATCGATCTTGGTGCTCAAGCGCGCGAGTTGCGATGCACACAGTACCACCCACAGAGTACCCGGTACACTCACCGCCCCGGTCCACCGGTCATGCTGGTAACCGCTGCCGCGGCTGCATGATGTTTTACAAACTAATCATGTTTAGTCCCATAAATGTGACTGAAATACTGGACTACCTCCGTATATCAGTCACAGAGCCACGTACGGCCTGTGAGCAGAAAATTATTTTGTCAGCAGAAAATCAACCCAGCTATAGTATGACTGCTAAATAGCAACAAAATCGTTAAATTCGGTACCGAAAATCATGTTAATTCGTCAAAGAATGCAGATGGTTTTGAACAAGCATGGCGTCTCTGCTATTTAACAGACTGTTTCCCGGCCACCGTAATAATAGTAAAAAAGGCCGGCAAAGGGGTCAAGGAACAAGACAAGAGCTTTAATCATCTACTGAGCGTGCATCAACTTTGGCAAAGCGCACCGCGGCTGTTACCTGTCATTCCAAAATCTTTGGCGCTCTGTGAAGTGCCCGGATACTCCTAGAACTATGAGGCTCCACGTACTAGTGGAGCCTCATAGGTTCAGAACCCCGCAAAATTGTTGTCAGCACAAAACACTAATTAAGTACAAAAACGTCCATCCCAACGAAGCCGTTTCCCACAGAACCGCTTCACAGTTTGCCCCTAAACTCCGTACAATACCTCATGACATACTCACGCTATGTGCACCCAACAAACATCGGTGGATTCTGTCGGTTTTTCGGCAAAATGATGAAGAATATGCCTTTTCCGCACTGAGCCAACCTGACACTTGAAATTTGCACGCGCGCAGAATGATCGCAGTCATTTTCGGGTTCGATAGCTCTGAGCGCGCCGCGGGGGGTACGTACTCGCACTTGTACGCATGCGCATACTATCGTTCCGCTCCTACACCATACCCCCCGCGGCGCGCTCCGAGCGATCGGACCGAAAATGACTGCGATCATTCAGCGCGCGTGCAAATTTCAAGTGTCAGGATGGCTCAGTGCGGAAAGGGCATATTTTCCATCATTTTTGCAAAAAACCGACAGAATCCACCGATGTTTGTTGGGTGCACATAGCGTGAGTATGTCATGAGGTATTGTACGGAGTTTAGGGGCAAACTGTGCAGCGGTTCTATGGGAAACGGCTTCGTTGGGATGGACGTTTTTGTACTTAATTAGTGTTTTGTGCTGACAACAATTTTGCGGGGTTCTGAACCTATGAGGCTCCACTACGTGGAGCCTCATAGTTCTAGGAGTAGTGCCCGGATGCAATACGCGACCGCGGATGAAGAGCGCACACAAGAGGGCGCGCTTCACTGCAGAGGGCTTCAAAGATTTTGGGTGCCGAGTTGGCTAGGTGCTGAGTTGGCTACGTGCTGAGTAGGTGCCGAGTTGGCAAGGTGCCGAGTTGGCAAGGTGCCGAGTTGGCTAAGTGCCGAAGTGACCGACATTCAAGCAGGTAGGCTATGCTATGTCCGGAAACTGGACATATTTTTTTTTAATTCAATACTCACACATTATTGAATTTAAACAGGTCTTCGCATGTAAAAGGGCGAACAGTGGTCATCTTGAAGTTTATGACAATATTGTCCCCGGATATGCAAAAAGAAACTTAACAGAATTCAACAAAAACGAACACCATCAAGACGTCAACATTTCATCCGCGACTTTGTGAGAAGTTTTTGTCTAAATCCTGCCTAGAAGAGCGCTAGCGCCCTCTAGTGTTCGAGAAGTCGGAAACCAGGGATGCGCGTTTACGTTGGAGTTGTGCATATTGATGTGGATCATCGATCGGTCCTGCGATATGCTTTGCCATTTATGCTACAATTTTACAAAGATACAGCAAATGCTTTATTTATTGCCAAGAATACGCAAAATAGTTTTCGAGTTGTTCTACACAAACAGAAAAATCAAAGCTTCAATTAGCCATCATTCACTCTCTGTTCGATATCGGCGGTTATTTTGATGACAATCGGGTGATATGACATTTCCCAAAAAGATGATCACTCATACATTTAGTAAAAAATAGGCCTCATCCCATGGAGGAAGGAATCATACTCATCCATACTGAAAACACTTTCGGATCTAATAATTTTCACATCCTTCCTACCATAACTTCTGGTACGATGACGTATTTGTTCTGAAACTTCGCGAAGAAACTTTTTTATTATCCCCAAGACGTTCATTGGCTCTCGAGCTCATGCATGCGCGCCAAAACATGAATGATCAAAATACTTGAGGGCCAACCGGTCGTTCCCTAGTCAAGTGGATAACGGGTGATACTCAGACTAGTCGATCCCATGATAGTAACATAATTGAATGCTTTATTTTAATTTGCAATAATGACATCCTGTCAAAACAGGCGATTTTCACCCGGTACCCAAGAGTAAACAGCCGTTTGGTTTTAATGTCGTTTTTTTTTTGTGGATCATGAACTTCCAAGGCCAAGTTCAAGGTTTGTGGACAACAAATAGGCCTTCAATAAAAAAGAAGAACCATAGCTCCCTGCATGCTCAAAACAGGACTGAAAGTTGTTTGTTTTTCATTCTTAGAAATCACTGTCATGAAATGGTCAGTTTCCGGTCTTTTTCCCCATTAAAATCGATTATCGGAACCCATTTGGGATGTCAGCTATATCGAAGATGGGCATCGTAATGCTGTGACTTCATCAAACCGGAAGTTAGGTGGAATCAATACACAGTACACATAATTATAAAAACGCGTCCCATTTTATCGGCGTCCCCCACCCACAAGCCCCCCCCCCCCCCGCGGATCGCTGTCCATGCTCACATTGTGCTGTTACGTAACGTTCTTGAAGTGCATTGCTCACAACGTCTTATATGACGGCGATTAAGTGACAACAGGCGTACCACTGGTCATATATCAACGATTAATTTTATGCATTTTAAGGGCATTTTCAATAAAACTATTTTTAAACTGACGATACATTTTGGACTTTTGAACAGCTACTTTGAAAAGATTGTTCCGAGTGTTGTTTGGCAGTTCGTGATGGACAATTTTAACATAGAGCAATCGTTTATACTCCCTAAAAATAGAGCAAAACCCAATAAATCTGATACAAAGGTGAGATCAGTTCAGGCGCAACTGTTGAGCTAAGCGATTACACTATTTCATGTTGGTATTTTACGTACAACGGAATATTAAATCTCTATGATTGAGTGTGTGTGTTGAAAATCAAAACATACGGATTCAAGTATAAAAGGCCGGATCCAGAACACAATTTTTTTCGGAGGGGGCAAAACATTTTTTTCCCCGAAAACGTGGGTCCAAAATTTTCCGCCCCAAATTTAATATGAACAGCATGGGGAGGGGTGCAAATGTATTGCTTTTGTTGAGTTTTGCGGGTGGTGTACGCAGTGGCTGCCTTTTTACGACCTGTTTTTTTTTAGGGGGGGGGGGGGCATGGCCCACGTTGTAGAATAGAATAATTGCTATAATTTTCGAATTATTTGCAGCCCGAGAATAGTTCAGTTGTATCTTTTCTGTCTTATGGGCAAAAAAGCACCCCATATTTTCAGAGGATTGAAAACGTCCAGAATAGAAAAAAAAAGTCAGATAGGGGATATATTTGGGGAATTGTGCCTTTGATGATACAAGCATGGCATTTGGCACACAGTCAGAGTATGTCTTAGAAAGATATTTGGCTATAGGGCCATCGCAGATTTGTCCTTTGAAAAAATATAGGTAGAATAACAGGCAATTTTCAAAATGGTTCCTCTGCTTGTATTTTTCAAAGGACAAATCTGCGATGGCCCTACAGCCAAATATCTTTCTCATGACATACTCTGTGTGCCAAATTCCATGCTTGTATCATCAAAGGCATATTACCATCACCTGATCTGATCTGCCGTACTGGTAGTTCAACTTTAATACTGGCACAAAAAAAGGAACCCCTTTTCCAAAATTAATAACTGCATTGTTCTCCATTTTTATGGCATGTCTACCCCATTTCAACGAAGAAAAATAAAACAAACCATCACTCAAAGAGTTCCAAGTATAGTATTTTAATAGTACATATTCTTTACATGTTTACAGTTTGTTGAACAGTTACCATGACAGAGTTAATTAAAGTTGCAGATTCTTGGGATAAAGTTAATCCTCAATATTTCATGAATTAAGGTGTACTCCAAGAATGAATGTACATTTAGAACCGACTTTACATCTACTTTAAAATCTGTTCTGAACTTTCTCTTCCAACTACACCAATGAATAAGCGAATCTGAGTCATTTTTTGTTTAACTCATTGAATAAAAAATGTAGTTTAAAAGGTTTGCAAGCAGGTTAACTTTGTGAACAGGCAATCTTTCAAACACTGAACTTTTCTGAATTCTGTTCTCCGTGATTTCATTTATGCTTAATGGAAGGGCAATCTGACAACAACACCGGTAATGCCCTCCAAAATTCTATACCATATTTTGTAAGATATTGAAGGATTCACTACACAACCATTTATGTGGCATTTTGAAGCATGGTATCCGTGAACTTCTAAAAGACATACATAAAAAAAAATATCCTTCAACAATTCTTGGGAATGACACATGTAATTATTTCGAAGAGAGACAATCTTCCCATTTGAAGAAAACCACTTTGGGCAATGCAATACTTTGAAAGATTAGATACCCAACAACTCTCGTTTCAGGGGGGTCTGAACGATTTCGCAACCGGTTTAGATTTTGGGAGGAAAATGTGGGAGGATTCCCAGCGAAAGAAACCCTAGGTGTTTAGATTAAGGAATTCATTAGTTTTAAAAACCAGCGATAAGGAATTTTCTTAAAACATTCAAACTGTTTAATTTTGGAAAAGTGAAACAGATTCTTTTTAAGTTTTTTACAAAAAATGTTTTCATTTTTGTTAAGTTTGATAGGGTACTCAATAATAAAATTTGGAGATGTATTTTCCGATTTTTTTTTGGATACAAATACAGTAACTTCCTGAGCAATAAAATTGTTGAAAATACATATCAAATGGCCAATTTGTTTTCCTTTTGTAGAATGATTATATACTTATCATAAGGGTACTCTTAGAAACATCAGTCTTCGCTTTTTAACTTTAACCATACAAACCATGGGATTCATAAAAAAGAGGGCCTACATTATAAACCGTGTTTTTAAACATTATGAACGTGGCTTGAAATGCTTAAAAAATTAAAAACAATTTTTTAAAGAAGAGGTCAACAAATGTTAATGGCAAAAACAAAAACAAATTCCAAATCCAGTATATGGCCAAGACTGTCTTGTCAGTTTCTTCCAGTAAAGCTAGCCTAATTTCAAATAGTCGTCAACTCCCTCTGTCAGACTATTGTCCAATCAGCTTTAAACACGCATAAGCTCCGTATAAATACCATGTAAGGGTGATCCAATCGGATACCTAGCTAAATGCTAGATCTAAGGGGTAAAAATCCACACCAGAATCCTATGAGGCAAACAGGGAAGTGTAACTGTATCGCCACCACCACCTAACACATCATAACAAAATAGTTTCAAACACACGTGGATGTAACAAGTATCATCTTAAGAAGCTCCAAAGCACACGAATATAGATATACGGGATCATTTGCATTTAACCTGCCGAAATATAATATTAAAAAAACAACTGATTTCGATGAAAGATCGTACTGGTACCAAACACCCCGTGGAATTATTCCGTCTGGCTTGCTGGCATGTTGAAGAAGTCAAGAAACAATCAGTCAATTGATTCATTTTTGGAAATAAAGAGTGATAGGGATGTTATCGTCTTCCTGATCAAATGGTTGTGCATGCTTTTTCACTGTTTTCTAAAAAAGTGCAATGTCCACTGAGCTGAAACTTCAACAGGTTAAGGTTTTGAACATTCTTCTTTGGATTTTGATCGGTGTTATTATTGGAAACAAAATGCATGAAAAGCAAATGATCCTACGGTATATGCCTCTAAGCAGAGGTGTCAAACATAGCATACGTATTGCTTTGGCTTCTTCTAAGCTCAAATCTTCACGGAAAATACAACTATTAGGTTTTCAAATGGCAAACAGACTTCCACATTCATGTCACGAATTCCTGGAGTAATGCTCTCGTTCACGAGATTTGAGAAAAGTCAAGACACTCTGAAAATGAAATTCCAAGAACGAGAGCAATCAAAACATCCTTCAAAAGTCACTGCCTCAAAAAAACAAAAAAACAAAACAAAACCAGGTCATTCTTCAAAGAACATCAAGCAGTACAACTCTTGAAACAGTTTCATGTTTCTTTCCTCAATTTCTATAAAGGGATCCCACTGGAAATAAATGGAAAGTATTCCGTGGTCTTTCCCAACCATTTGCCAGGCTTAGCAAAAATTCAAAACATTTGGCTGTGTATATGCCTTTTTTCACCCAAAATTTAACAACAAATTCAATTTTAGAAGCTCCCAGTATGTGGGCATTTTTTTAGATGGTGGATCGTTTCAAACTTTAAACAGTTTAATTTACAAAGTTGAACAAAGAAATTGACTGGAGCAGGGTTTGAACCTGCGACTTCCGGATTGCCGTTCTGGTGCTCTACCAACTGAGCTATCCAGCCCTATGTTGGCGGTTCCCCAATTTGTCAATGTCTTTGTTCTATAAACGTAGCTTACTTTTTTTCCCTTAGAAGTACATGCACATGTACATGTAAACCTGACTAGCAACTTTGACCTAAAATTGCCCCATTCCGGGGGCACACAGAGGAAACAACACCCTTTTCACACTTTAAGAAACTGTCATCTTTCCATCAATTGATATTCCACGTGCAAAAAAATATAGCAGGAAAGTGCATAGAAGAATACTAAAATATATCTCAGATGACTCTTACAGGGATGGTACCACACTAATATAACATGAATATCATCCTAAGACCCCTACTATTCCGGTCATGTACCCTGACTTTACAGCTCACTTTACACTCCATCCGTTTGACAGCTATACATCAAATACTGTACATGTTTAAACCTAATACTTATATATCTTTTTATTTAAAAGGTGATTTACACAGATTTATTTATTTATTTATTTGTCAATAAGTTATAAATGGAAACGTCTATGTTTGGTTTCACTCAAAAGCTTTTCTAGACCAAAAAAACAGCTTCTAGGCAAACTTCTGAAACTCTGGTAAACTTTCACATAATTAAAACACACACCAAAAAAACCAAGGAAGAATAGAATTTGTGACCACACGATATATCTCCAAGTATGTTCCCAATGAATAGCAAAGAACACATGAAATGTACAAATTATTTATAAATAACTTACATGATGAATCTACATGTATCTATAATAATATTTCAAACAAAAACGAAAGTTTCAATTGTATAATCCAATAATCTATTTCAGACACGTCACAAGACGCGAGTAAATCATTCTGTGAGACTGAGGGGCGAACTGAATATCTAACCCTAAAGTGTGCATGTATGTCCCCTGGCACCTACAAATAGATAAGTTGAGAAAATGAACAGAAATTACAAAAGAGACTTTCTAGAAGATTCTAAGTAAACTATCTCAAAGGATTCTTTCATCATAAAAACCTTGGGTTTGAGAATTCTAGTGGCGTAAATCCGTGTCGGCAAGGGGGGGGGGGGGGAGGGAGGTGCTGGACACCACGTGACGGCAAGGGGGCGCTTTTCATGACACAAAAATGTACATTTAAATGGAAACTTCCACGCTTACGTCCCTAAACCTTACATCAAACAGGGCATTGTACCGTTTGTTCTTGTTTTTTTCACAACAATTGTATACATTTGACCATTGCAAAGTTAACCGTTTGTTCTCCGTTTTTCACAATAATTTTATACATGCGACCATTGAAAAGTTACAAGATAACCTCAAAATCCTCCCCCCCCCCCAAGATTTACGCCCATGGAGAATTCTAAAACACGTAAGATCCCAAGTAAAATCTCAACAGGGCATACTGTGGGGTTCAATACCAGAAAATCTACATCAAAAATATTGTGTGATGCTGTGCATTTATTGTGATGTAAAAGTTTGCAATACGAAATTGATTATAAATTGACTATAACACAGATGTAGCATCCCAGATATTGTTTGAGTACTAGATCTACTTCAGACTTAAACAGTTCTCTAGATCTCAGCTAAAGGGCATTTCAAAAAGATAACAAGGCATGGGGTCACAAGACAAAGTCTTTGAAAGAGAGTAAAAATACTCGAAACTTACAAAGCATTTTGAATGTGTTGCACTCGCCAGTCCTGAGTCAGTGAGTAAAGTATACCGAGGCGCATATATACAGAACACTTATCATTTGAGTTCACACATTTTGCCCTTTTCCTTTTCTATTTCAAAAACTAAATTTCAAACTAAAAAGGGCCCCATCTCATAGCACTGCTTAACAGCTGATTTTGTACCAACTGAGCCTCTGTCTAGAGACTGTTAAGCAGTAAGCACGCAAAAGCATGCTTAACCCCAGAGGAAAAAGTTGCTTAAATCAGTGAAGTAGAAACAATAGAAATCTCCATGCAGCGCAACCGTCAGCACATCCACGCCATGAAATAGTGCTTAAACAGCATCATCAAGGTGGGGGGGGGGGGGAGTGTTAAAACACCCAGCAAAGTATCGGTCTCGTTCAAATGACGTCATTTCCTACAGACCAACCACGTGCATGGGCATTTTGATCGTCAACTTGCATAACGCGCATCGGCTGCGTCGTATTTTGAACACATTTCGAGCAAGCACACGTGTTTGGAACATTTCCAACACTGCGCAACGCATGCCTGATTGCGTAAAATACACACTTACAGCTCTCTTACAGAGATGGCCGTCATTGAGCGAGCCCTATTATGCATTGATGAGATACCCGACAGAATCAGCAGTCCACATATTAAGGTTGCATATGGGCTTATGCTAACAGGTCAGTATAGAATTTGTTAACTCAAGCTGAATGGCATGTATGTATTTGTCATTTTGTGTTCAAAGTTGGCCAAATCCGTGCGTATGCTTTGGATTTCCATTTTCCCAACATTTTCAACTCTGCAGTACTTCTACGGCTGATTATTTTCTCTGAACTATTTTTTTTTAAATGAATAGTGGTATGTTCACAATCACAACATGTTTTGTGCAAATTTGTGGGGTTCTGGAGTGAAACCGAGACACACGATTTGCTTATGGCATAATCCAGACCAATGAACAGCACACTAGCAACCTAGGAAACACCGCCCACCCCCCCCCCCCAAAAAAAACCCAGAAAATAATGCACACGAAATAACCATTCCCCAGTAACGTTTGCTCCAAAAGAGCCACAGAATGCACACTGCCCTATACAGCACAAGTTCCACACTTGTAACAAATAGCTGAGTCCTGCTACCAGGTGTTTTATTCACAACAGTGTGGAGACTCTACTGGCAGTCCGCCTCAGCATCCGACTGTAACACTACCGATTGCATCCATCCATTTCTACCTTGTATCCATTGAGGATCCCACCCACACCGAGGGATCCTGCCATCACGATGGATTCTTCAAGACCCTCTTCTGCCGAAAGTCGTACACCTGTCTGCAGAGGAACACGTTCTCGGGGCTGATGTCATCGGGAGGCAGGCGGTACGTCCAGGGGTAGCTGTCGGGGTTCTCCGGCACGCAGGGCCTCCCTGGGACGATTGCCTCCTTCTGTCTCTGGAGCTTGGCCCGATACCTTTACCGTAAGACAAAAGACAAGGAAAAGAATCCATTTAATTATTTATTTATGATTAGGCCAAAAAAAAAAGTCTCCGGTTTCTGGTATGCGCGCGCGTCGCCGTAGCCATGCGCGTCGGCAAAATGAAAAAGTTTTTTTTTCAATACAAGATGATATCTCAAAACCGCCAAACTCACTGGTTTGACTGGAATCCTGCTGCTGCACAATTTTAACGTGTTTTTAGATGGGGTTATGATTGAGAATAAGCTTTATGTGGCCTCTCTGGACTCCCATATATTTGCACTAAGTTTAGTCGGGCACCATTTGCAGTCATCAGCCGACATTTGAAGCCAAAAAAAAAAAAAAAAAACAGGTAAAAAAAAAAAGCCGCGTCGCCGCACCACTTTTGGGGCAAGCTCCAACCAGAAACCGGAGACTTTTTTTTTGTGGCCTTATTCAGCAATTGGCCAGGATAACCCATGAAAGTCTTGCAACATGATCCAATGCCCCCCCCCCCCCCCCCCCCCCGCTCCAAAAAGAGGGGGGGGGGGGGGGGGGGAGAGGAGGGGGGGGGGAGAGGGGGGAGGGGGGGGATACATCCTCCTCATCCCCTCAGGATTTACGCCCCTGCTCAAAACACTTTGATGGACTTACCTTGAGTACTCAGCTGGTGTGAGTACATAACACCTGTCTTCAATGCAAGCTACACTGTTGACATCCCAGTGACGACAGGCAAACAGCTCGTGCTGCAAAGGCAACCAGAAAAGTACAAAAATCACGTACGTGTATCATGGAATTTTGGATTGCGTCGATGTAAACTGTATCACTGTGCTATTTCCTTCACCGGCATTATGTTATCTGCAGTGCTCAGTGCTCTCTGGGACCACGCATGAAAAATAAAAATTCACAAGTTCCCCTGGGTGGGACTTGAACCCACCACCACCTGCTTACTAGGGCAAAAAACTAACTACTTGACCACTGAATCTGACAAGATCTGCTGGCTGGTTTGAATCCATCCAGCTAGATTCACTGCTTAAAATCTTATGTCAATAAAAGGGCAAACCTATTTTTTTGTTTACATTAACAGTTCACACCACTAACTCTCTAGCTTTTGACTGTCCAGTGAAAACCTTTCGTTATGAGACTGCCTGAAACTACATCGGATCTACATTCATTTTTACTAGTAAAGATTATTCTCTTTTAACATAATGCTGAATGCTTTATTTTAGCAAAACAATACTTTTTCCCCTTTGTCTACAACCCCCTGAAATACCTTTACTCTGGATTGTTCACCATTGCTGATCTGCCCTGTGAGTAGACTAGTTCCCAGTAATGTTGTGCATCGGGTTGGGTTGACCAGGCCAAAACGACCCGAAACATTATTGATATAAACCAAAACCGATCTGAACTACCCAAATCCCACCCGACCCGACTGAAATGATGGACAAACCGACCCGACCCAAAATCGGGTTTGGGTCAGGTTGGTTTCGGATTCGGGCCGGGTTTGCACATCTGAAAACTACCTAAATCTGAAAACTTGAATTGCATTGACTTTTAGGTTGTGTCTCAAAAGGGTGTTTTTTTTGGTCATCAGCTATGTATTTTTGTTGTAGTGTGTCTATGTCAAAAACCACAGCAGCATAGTGGCAAAACCAGTGACTTGGACATGGCCTTACATCAAGATGATGAGGTAATCGGCCTGCTTCCGTGTGCTCCGGTTGATAGTACCATAGGAGCGTCATCATCAAGTCCCCTGAAAATCAGAGAAAAAAAATAAAATCTTTAAAAGGTCATGAAATCTAGAGCTTCAAAATGTTTGGAATAACATTTCTGAGAGGCACTATTTTTTTTGGGGGGGGTGGAAGTGTTTCTTTGATTTTTACTAGAAAAGTAGAAATCTCGCTGAATCGTTCAAGATTCTACAAGTGTATTTTGAATCTTCTGGAAGGGTTAGGGAGTGTTAAGGGAGCATCATGCAACTTAAAACACATGTGAGGCCTTCTGACAAAATGTGATGGTACTGGGCACATGCCATATCATAGGGGAGAAAAATGCCAAAAAAAAAAAAAATTAATGTGGATAATTTTTCAGATTTTCAGATTTATTTATATTTATAATCTTTGCTATGTTTACTACACATATTTTAAAGAAATAGTATGAAAATTGGGGAATAAAAGTGTTTTTAAGGAAAAAAACAATTTGCATCTTCCATTTTCATGACTAAAAAATTGAAAACTTTAACCCTAACCCCCTAGGCCCTTGTTGCTTACAACCATCCTCAATCCTCCAAAATCCTCCAAAATTTTTCAACTCCACCAAAATTTTTCAAAATTGTCAGACAGTCCTGCCTCAAAATGCATTCATCCTCAATCCTCCAAATCCTCCTCATCCCAAAACTTTGCACTCGTGTTTAAATGAAGGATAACCTAACGCCAAATCCTTCAAAATCATCAGACAGTCCTGCCTCAAAATGCATTCATCCTCAATCCTCCAAAATCCTCTTGTGCTTCATTCACCATTCATCCTCAATCCTCCAAAATCCTCATGTGCTTCAATCACCATTCATCCTCAATCCTCCAGAATCCTCATTTGATTCAATCACCATTCATCCTCAATCCTCTAGAATCCTCCAAAACCGCCAGGAGGATTTTGGAGGAGTGAGGTGGGTTAGGGTGCCTTTTCTCAGTATGTCGATACATGAGAACTTTAAACAGTCCTAACTTGTCAACACAATGTACTGAAGTGCAACAAACAGCATTGTAAGGAAAACTGTACTCTCTTTCTAAATACCAGCAAACCCTCATTTCCACCTCTGCCCAGTTCTCTCTCATTTTGCCAGAACGCCTCATATATTCCTGCTTTAATCAAGTTTTCTTTCAAGATGGCGTGCTCCATGTGTTACAAGTCCAACACTAAAGAAGCAACAGTTCAGTGCCATCAATGCCACAAAAAATCCACAACAGCATATCTGGGCACCGACTCCATTACACGCAGGTGTGATGTCAGCGTCCCGCTATACACAAACAAACAGCAATCCAATTTCCTCTCACTTGTCAATGCTTAACTCATGAATATCAATGGCCCTCCTCAAGATGCAGACAGACAATCAACTGTGAATGATTTACGGAGCCTGCAGAAGGGGCTGACGTGTGGAATTCAACAGCCACCTCATTTGCCTAATAACTCTGGGGCAGGAAATGATCCATTATGTATTCAAGATGCCTGCAATATGAGCATTCTGTTTTAGTAATCTCATAAAATATTAATTATCCAGAAAACTGACGACATACGTGTACACTGGGTTTTATCAATTATCTGACAAGTACATTGTGATTTGTTGTGTGTGTTCAAGTTTGATAGACATCAAAGTCCACATGAAGCTGGCACTATTAGGCCGACAAATAATACAGGGAAAAGTCAAGAAGTAATTTGTCAAAGGTCGTTGATTTTTTTGATTTTTTTTTTTTTTTTTTTTGCTGGCACAATTTTTTATTTTATTTTCCCATTTATCATTTGACTAAGTGTCTATGAGATACTCGTAGAAACAAATTCCATTTTGAAGGGGAAGATTAGCGGGCCGCACAAGTCTTGCTGCATGTAGGACAAAAGCACCGTCCACAATTTTATGAATGTGAACAGATAAGTTTGACAGGGAGTCTAGAAAGGTTTACGAAAATGCACCATGGTAAAATCCCATGTTTACTGGTTGAAAATCGTTCTTGGGACAAGGCATACTGTCTTTTACCAAATTTGCCCAATTTGTTTGTTGGGGGCCATCCTGAATTCTCCCAAATCTTTCACTGAAGAGATCACAAATGACACATTGTATTGTACTTACATTAACCCAAATCCTTTAAAGTAAGGAGAACGTACAGTACCATTTGTTTCCAACACAGAGGATGATTTAGGATGATGCATAGATGTTCGTAGCGAAAAGCACCCCCCCCCCCAAAAAAAAAAGAAGAAACCAAACAAACAAACAAACAAACACAGGGAGTCGAAGTTTAAAGGAAGATCTATACTCATGGATCAACTACTGTTGTCAAACCTACGGTTCAGAAAAAAAAACGCCCTCTAGTGTCCCACCTGAGTCAGGGTCTTCCCACAGAGAGGCCACCTTAGCAACATACGCTGGCTCCTTCCGGCGGTTGCTTGACGCCCTCAGCAGCACGCAGTCCTGCGTGCGAATCTCGTCATCCTTGCGTCGGATGGCGTCGTAACAGTAGCGATACTCGCGTACTGCATCATTCTGTTACATGTATAAATGCGCACAGACAAACAAATCTAATGAGAAACATGAACATACACATACAGTGTAGTTGTCAATCTCTGAATGTAATTTGAAAAATCTTCTCTGGCTTTATTTAAATGTAACCGCAAAGTCACTTAAGACTTTTTTTTTTAATATCCTTTTAAGTAGTTATAGATGTTGGCCCCCTTAAAAAGGCCAAAGTGACAAACTTTTGAAAGAAAGTTTCAAAAAAGTTTATACCAATATAGATTGGCTGAGAATATTTTTTCTCACACATGAAAAGCTATTCATAAGATGGAATTTTTTCCAACTTACAATCGGGAGGTAATGCACTGAGTATACGTCGGTGAAGGGCAAAAACTTAATTTGATTTACATGAAAAGCTGTCAAGGATTCCATTTTAAAGGTAATATAATCATTTGCTTTTTCTGTAATTTTCAGAAATGGATGGATTTGGGGGTCAGCATTTTATAGCAAATATTGTTACACTGATCTCTTTAAAGTTTTGTGTTGATAGATGCTGGAAAAACCAAGAAAAAATGCTGTTCTTGTAGTCTGGTTCCCTGACCCTACTTCAGACGAAACTGAGCAATTTATAGACGTTGGGAATTGTCAGGTCAGAGAACCAGACTATATTGTAGCTGGCTTGCACCCGTTTATGGAAGCGTATGAGAATGCAAACCAAATGTGGATTAACTAAATTTGGTAAATTGGGGGCAGTATTTGGAGGAAAAAAAATCAGTTTTTGTCAAACGATGGTAGGCCGACCATCGTTGGGAATTGATACAAAATTCCACTTTTCTTGAAAATAACAGCACACCAGCTAAAGCCAATTTCACGGCACTGCAAAGCACAAAAATGTGCTTAGCAGACTTTAGCAGACTTTAAAAGTCTGGCTTATAAAAGCAGGTTACCAGCCAAAACTCCCATGTGATGTATATTGCTCGTGATTAGTATTCAGCTGTTGTTTGCTATAGCATGAAAATCACAAGCAGTTTTGGCTAGTAAAGTGCTTTTTATAAGCCAGGCTTTTTTTGTGCTAAGCAAATTTTTGTGCTTTGCAGCAGCGTGAAATGGGGCCCTGATGCCACGATTTCACAGGATGCTTTCAATTCACTTACAGTCAAGTAAGGCATTTCATAATTAATTTGGTAGTTTTGTTTTTTGATGTTTGCAATTGTTGTTTTTACCTTTACATGAAAGTCTTCTGTGGCCTAAAATTTATGACAGAGATTGTATTTGTCAGCCTTGCATGCCCATGCAGCTTGTTCAGACCAATGCAGACTCACCAAGAGAACCACGGGTCTGAGAACAGGCTCCCCGACACCCTTCCAGCCATTGGTAGACTTGCGTCGGCCCGCCTTGCCTGGCTTCAGGTTGGCCGTGTTCAGGATCTTCCTGGGAATACGGGACTTGGGGAGGTGGTTGGTGGTGGGCAGGAGCTGGGCTTGCAGAGTAGGAGGAGCCAGTAAAGGGGGAATCATCCCGCCTGAAAAGAGACCACACACAGCAAAGACTGTCAACCTGTGTTTGCATTGGAGTAATCTTTTGTTTCTGTGAGATGTTACCGGTAAAATCACAATTTCTCAACTAAGAGAATGGTTTTGAAAGAACCAGAGGTATAAACTCAACATTTCAGTCAGTATGCTCTGACCGTCTTCAGGTCAGTATGCTCTGACCGTCTTCAGGAGAGGTCAGAGCATACTGACCGGAACGTCGAGTTTATACCTCTGGTTCTTTTCAGAACCATTCTCTTAGTTGAGAAATTATTCGCACATGGTGTTTCCGCAAACCTTTCATTATTTAGTATCTCCACCATGCAAAGCCTCAAATCTTACTTAAAATCACAATAGGAAAAATGTTACCATTGTCTGCACACTGACTTTTAAATTGGCTATTATGACATCAAACATTTACAGAGGGGTAGCATTTGTGGATTTTTGTGAAGCAGAAATTGTCCCTTCAAGCTCGGAGGTCGAGTGGTAAGACGTGTGCGCTAGTAAGCAGGAGGTCGTGGATTTGAGTCCCACCCGAGTGATTTTATTCTCACAATCACTCGGGGTTGGGAGAGGGCAACACTGAGTATACAGTGTTTATAAAATATAGGCTAATTCTGTGAAAGTCTGTGAGAGGCAAAATCAAAAATGTATTGAACACCCCGATGTCATCACTATTCCTGGATCCCGACGTCTTGACCCCACATCCATAAATTCCATGTACTTTGTATCATGATTCGATCATGTTCAAATACCGGTACCGGTAAGTTGTGATCTGCGGTCAAAATGACACCCACTTGTGTGTGAACCATTCAATACCAATCAACAATATTGGTCTATACATGTACATGTATAATGTCTGCATTACTCTGCACAATACGGGCTACCAAGATTTTGCAGGTAAAGCATCGCTGGTCAATTCATTACTAAACTTTACATGCTCCTCGAAGCACAAAAACGGGCTGAAATCTAGCCATAAGATCTACCGCATGCTACGGTAGCTCTATGGTAATATGCGGTATTTGCTCAAAGTTGCAATGGAATATTTGTTGCAAGTACTAATGATCACTTTACTTCACACGATGGATGGTATTGAAACTTTTCCACCTTTTATAAGCTGGACAATACTTACATTCACAATGCACTGCACAGTAACTGAATCATGTGCTACAGCAATGCTAATGTTTACAGGGGCGGACTACAAGCAGGTTTATGTACTGTAGACCATGGATAGACAGTTTAGCTAGTCTGGTTTGGCCACGTATACATGTACTGTACATGTATAATTGTTGAAGCCGTGGGGTGTTTTGTAAGTGATGTACTGGTCCAGCTTCTTGTTCTGCATTGTTTGCATACATGTGCATACTATACATGTATTTACTGTGATTACAACATGTAGGAGTATTGTAGCATGTAGCATGTTGTACAATGTATGTACTTTACAATTGAATAGCAGATGCAGAGCTCATGTGCACGTGCACAGTACATGTATGTCACACATGTAAATGTATACATTGTGTAGGATTGAGGAACAGCTGCCCATACGAGTGCAAAGTGCACTACAGATGAAATACTATGTGAGGGTCAGTCTTTTTGCACTGTACCGGTACAATGGGCCTTTCCACACTGAAGGGGTACAAGAGTGTGACATAGGATTGGGAAATGAGGCAGGATAATAATGCCAAATTGTTTGTCCTATTTTCCACTTGTACATTCCCACCCCATTGTGGAGGATTGGGCTTTTAAAGAATTTAAGACTTTCCAGGCAAATTTGACAAGATATTTATGCTCAGTGCTACGTACTGTACATGTACATGTACGTAACATGGACAGACAGTTTGTTATTATTGATAGAAAGTTATAATTACGGTACAATAAACGTCTTTATCAAATACTGTGCCTTTTTCATTCTTATCCCTACACAGCAGTGTTACCTGTAAAAACCAAGACAATCAACTGTTTATTTCACAGGGTATTATGTTCAGCATATGACGTATGTAACATGGACAGAGAAATGTCACAACATTTCTGTCCATGTTACGTACATGTACGTTACCTACTGTATACACGTACAGGTGTCTTCAAGACCAACACTATTGTGTTCATTGTGGCTGTTAGCACTCCTCAATGGGTTATAAATATGAATGAGATGAAATTTGGGTGAATTCATGCACATGATAATTAGTGTCGTGTCTTTTGTTACGCACATAATTTTTACGATGGCCCCTGCAAGAAGGTTTTATATATTGTTTGTACACATGATCATTAAGGTCTCAGGAATGCACAGGAAGCAACTGAACAAAATATCTTGCTTTGCTGTACCCTCCAGTGTCCCCATCTCACATCCCAAATTTGCAGTCAATTGTACCCCGTTAGTGAGGAAATGCCCACATGCACATGTACATATTGTACATTACGCGTGGTACGTGTACAAGTTTACCTTCAAGCTAACTGGAATCCATAGCACGGTCCATATCACACTCTGCGTATAGCACTAATGAGATGCAATTTTGCAAACCTTGGAAATGGTACTATTAATATTGTGTGCAGAAAATCCACAAGAGTTTTGAAAACTGTGCTACAAACTGTGAAATTAGTTTACCTGTTTGTAACATGGAAAGTTGCTCCAGCGTTTCGTTGACTAATCCCGGCATGTCGCTGGGGGCGCTCTCTCCGTCGGTGGAATGTCTGGACATCCTGAGCATCAGGGGGCTCTTCAAGAATGACGTCAACTTCTGGCACTCGGCTGTGTCCACTGTAGCCCTCCTCATGCTGGTTGGGACCAGTGTGGGTCTCTTCGAGGTGCTGACGACTGGGGCTGACATCGGGCTGTGCACCGCTTGGACCAGACTGTTAGTGTCACTGGTGGGTTTGCAGTGACCCTCCGGACCCATAGTCCTAGCCGGTGCTGTGCATGTACAACAGCGACTCTCGCTCTGCACGCAGGAATGGCTGCCGCAGACACAGCTCCGGTCATTCAGGACCAAGTTCAACGGCCCATCTTGCTCCTGGGCTTGCTTCAGGGACAGGGAATAGTACAGCTGTACACACTCGGCACAGGGCATGGAGGCACCAGACTGAGTCACGACTTGGTGCTTGCAGAATGTGAAGGGTGTCGTTTCCATGCACTGGGCTGGCATCACAGGCGTTGCGGCTGAGACGGTCAGTGCTTCCGAGACTTTCTTGGCAGTTTTAGCACCAGTGTGCTTCTTTGGTCCTTCGACCTCATCCTTCTCATAGAGCAGATGCACTTTAGTCTCGGCAGTCAGGCTGGCAATTCGACGCTTCCTCGGTGCCCGCGGCTGGACGTCTTGCCACTTCTTTTTAACATACTGTTTCTTGGATTTAGTATTTGTTGCGTCTTTTGGGCCGCTGTCATCCGTCGTGTTCGAATCTTCGGTGAAAACAGACGACTCGTCTTCACAACTATCAGACGGCATCTGCTTGAAGTGCGGATCTGAGGGGCTCTCTTTCTCTACATTTCCACTTGGGTTTTCTGAAAGTGCACTATTCGCTAAAACATCCTGCTGCTGTACCTCAGGATTTTGCGACTCCCCATCACAGTCTGTCACAACAATGTCTATTGCCAACTCTTTCTTAAATAATATGTCGTTGTCGACTTTAAGGAACTTGTCGCTAATGTCCTCCGACAAACTGTCGGGTGTGCTAGGAGTGGTCGTCTTAACGGACGGTAAATTGGACAAATTCCCAAGATCCGGGATCTTCTTCTTGGTCTCCCACACACACTTGTGTCCTTTGTCATCCTCTATCTCCAGTTTGTGGCTCATCAGCGTCATCGTTGTAGTCTGAGGCGGGGGAGTTGGCACACGTTTCCGTGGGCTTGTCAGCATGGCTTCTGACAATGTCCCGATCTGTGCGGAGGCCCTCCTGTGGCCAATACTGTGCTTGGATTTATACTCCTGCCCTCGGCTTGCTGTGGAGATAGTTCTATTATTGGTGCACTCTCTCACTTCTTTGAAGTTCTGGTTATGGTCCACGTGCTTGCCTGAGGCATCTCTTTTTGATAAAGGCGATGCCGGAGAGCTAGAAGTACTCCCACCGTCCGATCGCCTCCTCTTTGACAATGGCGAGGCTGAAGATGGGAACTCAAGTTTCCTCTTGTGACTCGACGATGCTTGGATATTCTTCTGTCTCTTACCGACACTGAGTTTAGAGTCTGACATGCATCTCCTACCGGGGGAAACCGTCTCAAAGCGCCGGTTTGCAAGGTCCACATCCACGTGGAGAGTGTCATATCTGGTCTGAGACGTCCGTCGGTTATTAGACGGGCTTTGAAGTCCGGGCGAGGCACTCTTGTTGGCTGAGCCATGGGGGGATCTAGCTTCCTTCCTGGGGGAGACAGACTCGTGATTGGTCACCATGTTGCCGTTGGAGACTTTACCATTTCCGGCCACTGGGCATTTGACTGGGATCTGAAATGAACCAAAACAAAATGTGCAAGTGAGGAAATTTTGTTTGCATACCGGTCGGTAGATTGGTAATCTGGGAATTTAGATTAAGGTGAGCGTACATAAATTCACCTGCCAACACTGGACATAAAACACAAACTTGTCTATGGTCCATGCATGGGCAACATGTGTATGATCCTACACGTACACGTATGTAGGTTGGTATTAACGGCACGCTTCAATTGTTCATTTCCGAAATGTGTACATGTGCAGTTACCGGGTACCATTCAGTGCAAAAAGCTAATAAACATAGCTAGAACACCCTCCTTTTGGCTAGGAACCATCCTCAATCCTGCAAAATCCTCCAATTGCAACCATGTAAAAACTGGATGCAGCCTCAATCCTCCAAAATCTTCCGTTATTCCTTGAATTTGTGCAGTGGAGGGGTGCCCATCACCTCAATCCTTCAAAATCCTCCAACAATCACTTTTAATTGGTTGAGGCAGTGCCGATGACATTCAGAAGCTGTGGGGATGATGTCGTTCATAATGCAGGGGCATGGCTCAAACATGCATGGCTGAACATAAACAATGCAGGGTACAGCCCATGAACTGGACGCAATGCATCCTCCAAAATCAAGTGACACTTTTTGACATTTCAGTCTCAATCCTCCAAAAACCTCCAAAACCGTTCTGGAGGGTTTTGGAGGATTTTGGAAGGTTAGGGTTAACTGTGTACAAGTACCGGGTACATGTCAACCAACATACATGTACATGTACATGAACTGGTATACACGTGTGCGAAACCAACCAACGAATGTAAACATATGTATGTAATTGGATTTTTTTTTTTCAAATCAATTGTCACAACAAATTTATGTTTCAACTAAACATGGACAATCTCATACGTTCACGCATGCACTGTATCATTTAATTACACTACACACATGTATACATGTACACCCATGTACTGTACGTGTACATTTTCCAAACATATGCACACGTTTATGTACAACAAGCTGATTTACCCGATCATAGATCGGGTATATAGGGCGTAGTGTTGGGGATGAAAATGTGGGGAGTTAAATGTAAATGGGGGTTAGTTGAGAAGACATGCAGTTATAGAAAAGCATTTTTTTGTGGTGTGATCTGAGGCAATTTCTGACCACCAAAACCAATTTCAGCAAAATGATCATCTTTTAAACATCATTTTCGAGCTTGGGATAATTGAATCAGCTACACGGTATTCTGAGCAATAGAATCATTATAGTAGGCTACATGTACATGTACTTGGATTCTTTTCCCTGTCAATTATACACTCGTCATCCCTTCGGTAGCCAAAAACAAAAAAGCTCAACATGTGTCTCTCTGTTCTTCCCGACTCTCCGTTCTATCCTGTACAATGACATCCACTTCAGACACACTCAACATTATCCCTCCTGACACTGGAGACAGTTCAGTAACACTACACCCAGCTAACACACACTTTGTGCTGGGGTGAGAGTCTAGTGCGTTCAGATCCCTAGAGCCAAGGGGGAGAAAACTAGCTGTCCCAACAGCAATGTGTGACAGTTTCTCCTCCCACCGCCTTAGGAGAAGAGGCTGAGATCATAATTATATGATTGATTTATCCATCAGGTGTAATGGGATACTTAGAGAGCACAATGTACCAGTACATGCACATTTACATGTAGTAGTGTCTAGAGTGCAGCCTACGCATACAACGCCTTTGACCGCCTATTGAATTATGTTTACCATCACACAGATTGATAAACAACAGGGTACTATAAAAGGTGAATGTACCAGTACACTTACCTGTGTAGTGTGTACAATGTGTACACTTAAACACTTCATTGCATTTGTAACCAGCTCCACAAACAAGGGTATGATGTCGCAAAAAAGTGAATTGAGTTATATACCTGGTTGGAAAGCCAACAACGTAAGCTTTCATTTGGTATATAATAGAGCTCCATAGTTCCTCCCGTTCTGGATATATGACGTATTTACATTTTAATTACTTCCTTGGAGTTCAACCTACACAACTGAGAAAACAGGCTTTGAAATAGCTGGCTCTGTTGTACATTGTAGAACAACACAACGAGGCACACAAAATAATCTTTTTTGTCCCCACTTTATTCATCAAAATCATCACTTCTGTGAGTGAAACCTAAAACTACCTGTATTAAAGATGTCATTCGTGATAAAAAATGAAAATATCATTTTGACGAAATTTTCACCCTCTCAACATTGAGTGGACCATTACACGATAATGCACAGCATGGCTTACATGCAATACCTTTTTTGGTGGAGCCTGTACATGTATTACATACATGTACATGTGTACATGTGTAGGGTGTACATGTGGGTATGTACATGTACATGTATACATGTAGATACTCGTTTGGGCTTTGAAAGCTGTAAACATGTTGACCTCTGAACATGAACACTTACATGTATACATGTGGTATGAAGTTAGACCATTATTGCGGTATTTGTTCTGACATTCGTGACCATTATCGCTGTAGTTTTGCGACCCAGTTTCCGGAGTCGCCAGATTTGCCGGCACTGGGTTAAAACAATAATATCAACTGTTTTTTTTCTTAAATATATGGAACAGCTTCTTTTCTCCTTTACCAGCCTGCTCCATGATCTTACTCAACTTTTACTTTGCTGATTTTGTGAATGTGGAATGATGTCAGATTCCTTGAACGAATTCGAGGACAATCTCATAAAGTGCCCCTTTCAGTAAATTTGCTTTTGGAAATATGGCAAATTTTGTCGGGACAGGTACATGTACCAGTATGTCGCAGGATAAATATTTTGCTGTAAGAGTTGAGAGCACATCTTTGATTTTCACGACTGGAATTAATTAACATAATAGTGACAATTAGAGCCAGAAAGGGCATATTGCACCATTTGTGCACACATGCAATCAGGGGCGTCAGTGGGTTTTTGCTGCAGGGCCGGAAAAAAATTTGCCACGATCGTAATACACCATACATACGTCGCCATACCGACGGTTGTGTACATGTATTTACCGGCTCCTCTTCAGCTCTGGTCTAATTAGAGTCGCAGTTGTTTTTTTATCATTCCAAAATCCTTTTTTTCTACCTAAAGCAGACTTCTCTTAATTGTAATGAAACTATTTCTTGTAATTATGAACAGTTTCTTGTGGAAAAAAATGCTATTTTCTAACGCGTTTTACAGTTGGTGCCGTACAAATCGACCTGGTTTCATGCATTCATGGTGCATTGTGGTGCCCACCATCTTTGTTTTCGTGTTGCGTTTTGTCATCTTCATCATCGTTTGTCCGCAACATTTCCCTAAAAAATTCAAAACCCTGCCCTCTATCTACATGTACCACATACACATACCTGTTGGTTTTTAATAACCCTACATGTAACTCTCTAGGGGGTATGCAAAATCGTATTAAAATTGGAGGATTCAGGACTGTCGCTTACTACATACATACATGGACATGTATTTTGGTACTTGTTCAATAACCTAAAAGTGGATTTTTGTTCTCTACAAGAAACAGGGCCCCTAATAACACAATCCCCGCAATACCGGTACCACCCACGTGTTACATGTACATGAATCTATGTCGACAATGAGCATACAATACATACATTCGTGTACTCTAGCAGTACCGGTAGCATGGCAATCGTTGTGAAGCAGGCACACATGCACAATGATCCAAGACTCACACAACGAGTACACTTGGGTTTTAAACTATCGTTTGCCACACAATATGAATGCACTAATGCAGAAAACTTAACGCTTGACCAAGCGCACTCGGTTCGAGTCTATCACGCTGACAACACGTAGCTTGTATTCAATTTTATTATTGGCTCATGAGCGACTATCAAGCAATGCAAAACGGATTTTCCTAATGGGTGGATGACATTTTGTTTTCTCCATGCACACTACACAAAGATTTATTTTCAAGTCTGCAAAGGGATGGAATGCCAGAGATCTTTTCCCCAAAACACAAAAGCATGCAACTGAGAATTTGGAAAAGAAACAAGGACACTCCAAACCACAAAAGAATTTGTACAGTATTGTTTTAATTTGTATTGGCATTCATGAGAAGTAAAAAAAACAAGGAAATCAGGGGATCCGAGGAAAAATTGCATGCCTGAAGACATGAAAAGCCGGAATTCCAGCTAAAGCCGGAAAACTGCCATCCCTGTTTTAGCAAATTTACATGTATATCTACCTTCCGGTACCTACGGTATGCTCACTAAGATCCTGATATCCCAGTTCTTTTAGTTGCGTGGATAAAGTCTGATCATCTTTCTCTTTCTATTTATTCACATTTAAAGATATGTAGGCCTAGTCCATCATTTGTAATTTGTGCATTTTGTTCGTTTGAAGCAACAAAATCTTCAAAATCTAATGAAGGATACTGAACAACTAACCTGATGAAGTTTCAGCTCAGCTTCAGCTGTATATTCCGAGAAAAACAGCATTCCAGGATCTCAATTTCAAATCAAAGTTGCTGAATCATGTTTTGAATTGTTTTGAATTACGCGATACGCGATGTCGCGCACTGATCCGACGAATTATAGCAACCGCGCGCGCCTGTGCGTCGTGCCAATGCTTGCGTGCGCTGCGCCGAATAACAAAACGAACTACTAATTTAAATTTTCCTACGGTGCGTCTTAAGACGCACCGTTGCAAAGGCCTTCTTTCGTTGATTACTTCAAAATGATAGCTTGCCAGAAAGATTAATTTCACAGGGAGTTTAGTCCACTTACTATCCTTCAACCAAGTATGTTTTTCAACAATAATACGCCAGTTACTTTTTCGGTTGGCTGCAAATGATGGACTATAGCTTTAAGTGAGAACCAATACTTTTTCTGATATGTTCCATTTTAATAATAATGCCAATAAAAAAACTTTTCAAAATTAAAACAGTAAATTCTTTAAAAAAATTTCAATGTAAAAGTATTTAGCAGAAATTATAGCGCATGACAGTTTTAAGTACGAGTAAAATAGTATTGATTTCATATTGAATCAAAA